TCGCTTGTTTAGGTGGGCGGTTGGGGTAATCACGTTAGAGCATTGTCTCTACTAGCTAATTGTTCCTAGTAGTAAGGCCCTTGCTCCTAGTAGCGATGCCCTTGGTTTGCTCCTAGTAGCGTCCGGTCCAAAGCCATAAGCCATAACTTTGCGAGCCAAACAATGGAAGTTGGGTCCAAGCCATGGCCAGTACCTCGAAACCAGCCTTTGCTTGGCACTTTCTCACGTGGAGACTGTCAAAAGAGAAGGATAAGGGCCATAGTACCCCCTGAGATGCTCAAAGAAGTTCTTTTGGTCCCGACTTCGGGTTGCGCGTGGTCGATTTTGGGGTGCCGGTGCGACGTTAGCCTGCAGGACCTTGTTGCAATTGCAGGAGGGCACCTTGACTGCATGGGCCATTTTTTCGGGGGGGTTTACATGCCAAGCTGCTGTGATTTGCAAGCTGGGATGGAGGACTAAACATTTTTCTCCTGTACAGTACGTCACGGAAAGTCTTGAGCCGGACATAGCTCAAGGTACAGGTGTACGGTATAGTGATATGTCCAGACTACAGTTCAGGGTGGGCTTCTAGGCCTCTTTTGGGTTGGAATCTGCGCAGTGTTTCTCCAAGGCCTTGCCAGCGTCCAAGCTTATATGTTACATAGTTATACAACTCTACCTCTACAACTATATATATATATATACATACACCGCACAAAGCCTCTCGCAATGGAACTTATCAGCTGCATGCATTGACACTGTAAGCCGTGATATTTTCCTGTTGTGGGCTTTGCTTGTTGGGTCAGCTGTGAACCAGGCCACTTCGCTTACTGGATCTTATTCTTCGCGCTCACCAGCGTGCTCCTGGTAGCCCCCTGGCGCTCGGATCTGGGTGGAAACCATGCACCCCAACTCGTCAGGCTTCTTCTTGCCCTAGAAGGCCCGCCACGCGACACTGTATCAGTGGGAGGAACCAGAGCCCAAGTCCATGTTTCCTTCTGTGCATCCTTTCGTTGGCATCCAACCTCGGCCTAAGGTCACTGCACTTTACGCCGTCTTCATGGCACCCAGGGATGATTTGCAGACCATTGACTGGCGCCTACGACACGACCTTACAGAGCAGCCCGAGCCTGGCTGCATTGTCGTCCCTGGCCAGCAGGCTTAGCGGGAGATATATAGGGAAACACCAGATGCAAGATATAGAATGTAGAATCGTAGAACAGCATGCAGTATGTGCACATCATGGTAGGTAACCCATGGCTGAGTTTGTTTTGCATCAATTCTTGGACTGAGCATGGCATGCTTCCAAGGCAGACCACGCTGGCTTCTACTCCATTTTGGCAGCATCTGCTGTGGCAGGCAGTGGCCATGGAGATTACAGTTTAAAGTTTAAAGCTTCCCCCCGCTGCCTGTAGTGAAGGACCCGAGTGATGTACCAGCCGCTACCCCTGCGTGTGATCACAAACGCGTGATGGCCACGACCCGAGTGTGGTCCCTCTCAACATGCCCTTTTGAGATCGGACCTGTGTGACTTGTAGCGATATCTCGTAATATCCCTCATTGCTGTAGCACGCAAACCGTAGCACCAGCCAACGACACTGCAGCGCAGCCCTGGCTGCTTGGATTGAAGTTGCGGTCAGAGTTTTACAACCATGCCACTGCGCTAGACCTCCTGAGACTTGCTGCAGCAAAAGCTTCACCCAGTCCATCCACCATGAGCGAAGGTACGCGATATACTACTCTCAGGTGGGGTGTGACCAGTGAAGGGTCTATTTTCAGTGTCAGGCTGTGCAGCATGCTTGATGTTTGTGAACGCTGGGCACTCCGCGCACATCCTCTCAGCGGCCGGAGCCTTTGCCTCAAACGGACGGTCCGCTTCCTGGGATTCAGCTGGAGCAGTGTTGGTTGGATGAGATTGGCCGGATGGGGCCTAGGGTATTTTACAATGCGATCGAACATTCTACTTCTTCATGCTTGTGTGGCCGGGATGTGTCGGTGACGCGCGTCGGGCAGTGGTGTGAAAAAGTCACGCGAGCCTTTTCAGTTCCTAGTTTTTGGCTACCCGGCTAACCTCCTAAGAGAAGGAGGTCCTTTTTGTTTGCAGATGGGTCTTTCATCTTGAGCCTTTAGTTCTTCTTGCGGAAGGCCACTCCTAATACCCTTTGCTAAGGATATGCGCTGCTCAATTGGTTCCAAGGGTTGGTGGCAGCCATCTTGCCAGCGCACGAGCGTGCCAAGAACGGATGCGCCTATGGGATGATGCAGAAAACCTTCGCCCCGCAGGCGCGGCGAGAGACGGAGTTTTGCGCCGTTTGGATCGCGCACCCGGTGACGCCACCGGTGAATGACCCCAGTGAGTAGTCAGGTTCTTGTGATGTGGGGAAGCCACTCAAACCTACCATGTCCCTTGCCTTGGTGTTAGGGCAGTGCCACATACCTTTGCCAGATTTTGCCAGGAGATGAGCTCCTATGACAACGTCGACTACTACAAAGAGTCACCTGGCCTTGAGCTATGCGTGCCAGGGGCAGTGCTACGCATTTCTCCCTTTGGTACCGAGGGTCGGCTTAGCTGAAGGGCGGGCCTAAGGATGCCATGTGTGTTTGGACACATGGGTTTGTCCAGGCAGGTCGTTCAGGCTGGAATTTGCCAGGTCACCCCTGTTGGACCTGAACATGTTGATGATGCGAGGTACTATGGGGTGATCATCGTGCGGACCCTCCTGTTTCTGGTTGGCCTCATTTGGATGCAGCACCTCATGGTGAGACGGGTGTCTCAGCTGCAGGGCGGGGAAACGCCGCGGACACGCTTCGAGGCACTCCGCATGTGTTTGGGCAGTGTCGGAAAGAAGAGGACAGCTCCATGCGGAGGACACATGGAGAAACATATGGAGGGTGGGTAAGATCGACCAACTTGGAATTCCCCTTGAAGAAGAACCGTCTTGGACCAAGAACTCTCTCTCTCTTCGATGATTTTCGGTCGCCCAGGTTCTGGCCGTTGAGACCACGTCCCGGCGCTACCTGGGAGGAAAGCGCCCTTGGCTGCGCCCGTTGTGGTGACCAATGTAAAGATCTACTGACGGATTCGGCGGATTTTGGATCATAATGAATCATATACTATGTCATTGGCTCACACCACTCCTAAGTCACCGGTCCTCAGTATAATGGATCAAAACAATAATGCCGTAAGGACCCAGAAGCAAGAAAGTGGAGGGACTTCGTGCTGCGAGGGACGACGACTGACACAGATGATGCGAATGCTGAGGTGCTTGGCGACGAACATCGCAGTGCAAAAGGTGGCGGCCATTGTGGCGTGTGGCGTGAGCGTTTGGCTGGGGTCCCAGGAAGATGGGGTCCGGGACACAGAAACTACTAATAGATGGCGCTGCAAGAGGGTAAGTGATTTGGGTGCCTTTCCCCTGGAGCAACTTCAGAGCTGATTGGCACTCATTCCACCACTGAAAGCGAGGTAAAGCATGAAATTGGGAGTGCAGAAAAGCATTTGCACAGCGATCAGCCACTTCGTTCCACGCCGGAAGCAAGAATTCAGGGAGCACATCAGGTTTCCACAAGGGAGACACTTTGCCATGGCTGGGGATCCACACAAACTCAACGTGTACCAAGGCACGAACTTGCTGAAGCACGGTCTGGGCACTGGCGGCCAACAAAGGGCACTCAAAAAGAGAAATGGCAGCCGTACAGTCGCAAACAACAAGTGGTTGACCCCCTTGGTCGTCCATTTTTGGGGCCCCAATTTTCTGTGGGTCAACCAGGCTCTTGGTGTTTTCACCCTGGGTGAAGGCACGAGCTCCGGCGCTCAGGATCTACACCTCACTTGATGATGTAGAGCCCGCGCCCGAAGTGCAGGACGCTCTGCTTGAATGAAACCCGCCATGTCTCAATTGCACATGGCACATGGCTATCATAGAGGGAGCGCCCAGACATTGTGCCGTCCTTCAATTCGGTTTTGTTCGCCAGGAGGCTGCGGCCAGCTTGCATTTTCTTGGCCATGTTTCCTTTTGGCAGCGTTGCTCACAATGCAGCCTGGAGAAATGCGGCGTGTATGATGGCCAGGATAGTTTGAGGTGCCCTACTTGCTTTTCTGTTCGTTGGACCTTGTGACATTCACCGGTCACCGAGCGCTTGTTCCCTTGAATTGAAGTGCGCTCACTGGGAATCCAAGCCAAGATTTGGGTAAAGGCATTCAGAATATGAAATCCCGGTGGTGGGTCCAAGCGCTTCCACATAGGACTGACATGCAAGACGAGCTCACCTTGGTGTCGGACAAGACAGTGTTCTCAACCAAGCCGAAACAAGAAAAGCCAACAAAAACGGCGCGCTCTGCCTTCATTCTGAACACCCAACTACCTGCACTCCCTGCACCAAACAGCGCGATCTCCTTCGAGCCGAGCCGATGTGTGACTTAAGGCACTTACTTTGTCGGCTTGCTCTTCTTTCAGCTGATTCTGGGAGGCCTCAACGTGATCCTCTTCATCGGCACCGCTGCCGGGGACCGAGGGGTCAGGGTGCGAGCCGCGCCGCGCGGGGTTCCGCTGCGCGGCACGCAGATCGCTGCGGAGGTCACGGTGTTGGTGGTGATGCGCATCATCCTCCGGGACCTGAGCAAGGCCAGAGAGGGGAGGGGCTTTGGACAGATGCATGGGATTTTCATCTCATCAGTGGATCTTCAACTGAATGATGGCTCTGGCCACCAAGCTTGTACTTTGCCTCACTTCAGGCGCTGGTCGTCACCAACGAGTTTGCGCAGACCCATCCGCGTACCAGGCACGATCGTTGAGGTCAGGTTTTCTCGATCAGTGCAGACAGGTGACACGGCATGCTGTTGTCCATCTTCCAGGTGGTTTTTGTATGTTTTTGTTCCTCTGAAGGGCCCATGAGCCGGGAAGACCCGACCAGAAATGTGAGCAAAGCATGCCTGAGACCACCGAGCATCAGGCTACTTTTTGGGGGGGTGGGTTCTGGCCGGAAGAGTGCTCTAGCCGTAGCAGTGTGACAGTGGGCCAGGCGTGCTGGGCAGCAGCTGAAGCGTGCCCGGACCGTGGTGAGACGCCAGCTGGCGGGTGTGGCCTTGAACGTGCTGGCCAGTGGCTTGGCTGGAGCTTTCGGGGCCCTCTTAGGTACTGTAGCTGTTATTCTGAGGGTTGTCTGCTTGAGAAGGTACAATCTGAAAAGACCTGAAGTAGCGGATGAACATGTCGGAGGCCCAGCCAGGAAGCGAGGCCGCAGATTTTTCGGAGTGATCCACAGGCTTTGGGGTGGTCCCTTTGGCGGTGAAGACCATCCTGGATGGCCGTGGATACATCAGCGAGCAAGAGCTGGCCCTGAGGACTGCTGCTCAGGCGACTTGGATCTTTCTTGTGACCTGCGTGGGACCTTTTCCAAGATCGGAGGGGGTTGGTGTGTGGACACCCGCCACAAAATGCCGCTTCGGACTCTTCCACCTGCTTTCGAGGGATCTGTGCCATCCGTCCGGATTCGGCCCTCGACCCGACCGCGAGGTCCTGGACATCGCGTCCTGCGTGGCGGCGGCGCTGATCCTGTCGGGCGGCTACCGGCGCCCAGTGGAGGGGCGAAAGGTGCCGGTGTCACAGGGTGATGCTGCCGAGTGCCTGGGCTGGGAGGAAAGGGAAGGTTGGTAGGCGGTTGGGTTGGTTGAGCTGGTGAGTGGCTTGGTTTGGAGTTGTTTGTTTTGTATTGTTTTCTTTGATTTTAAGTTGGCTGGTTTGCTTGTTTGGTCGCCCGAGGTACGTAGTGATTTCTTGGACATTTATCATTGATGTTGAAGGGTAGCACTTCACCGTACCATTCACGGAGGTGTCTGGGGATGGTCAAGGAGGAAATAGATTGGTTCTCCTACTCTGTCGTGGTCCGGTAGCTATCTAAGCAACACAGAGTCAAACGCCGCGTCATGAAACAACTTGGGAGAGGAGATGAGAGCAGGGTGTGTATAATATACCAAAAGTGCATATCATATCATATTATAGACAGTTTTAACATATACATATATAACTGTATCAAGTATAAATGTATATCTACATATGAAGGCATAAAAGGGTGGCGGGGCGGGCTTGAGCTAAACCGCACTTGGGCAATAGGATGATTCCGACGTCAAGGGGCTCCTTTCGTCCTGGCAGTTTTGCAGGGAAACGCTAGGAAACATTCAGTCGGAGGTGCCCGTCCACTGACGTTGCAGCACTTTCCAACTGGAATGGGATGGACGGACGGAGGGGAATTAATTTCCCCCCCGTGGGCCCAAGATGACTTGGATGACATCGGATGATTGGATGGCTAGCAGTGCGGGTTTCGGGGGAAGCCTGAGGCCATGCACCTGCCAGTTCGCCACCTTGGAGTCTGTGCCTCTCGGACGCTCCGGAAGATCGAACATCGATGAGTTCGAGCAAGTGACTCCAAACGGACGGGGAGCGACGGGCATGAGCTGATGTATGGAATTGTGGTCTTGGCATTTGCAGCAGAACATGGAGGTTTTATGATTGGTTTCTTTTTCTGAAAGGAACTTTAACTTTAACATTTACTGTACTTATTTTCTCTCCAATGTGATGGAGATGCGGTCCTGAGGCAGGCGAAGCCTCCAAACATGACCAGACGCTTGGCTGTTTCGCAGAAAGATGCGCCATTGCCACACTATTGCTATTGACACTGTTGCTATCAGCTTGTCTCTTTTGCATTTTGGAAACATTTATCCCTAGCTGCAGCAGCCAGTCCGCTCAACCTTCCAGCTGCACGCCACCAGCACCCAGCACTGGACAGCTACAACTGAGGAGCTTCCACCTCGATGAGTGTCTCGGGTGCCCGCCGACCACTGTTGAGTTGGTCTAAGAGACCTGGTGACGGCGGTTGCGGGTCACACCAGCAGCCCCAGAAAAGGTGAGTCAATTATACTTCAAAAATAGTCAAATACCTATATACTCACACCTGCCACTATCGACAACCGTAGAGATTGTAGATGAGACTACCCCCAGGCCTCCAACCCGGTCCCCTTCCTCCTTTTGCCCTCCTCTTCTAACGGCCTCTTCTTTTGACTTCTCCTCCAACCCAGCCGTCCCCCAACCCCTCCGCCAGCGAGGCCTCTTGCGGAGCTCGAGTGCCTGGAAAGCAAAGGTCATGGACCTGGCAGAGCGGGGCGTCACGGTACGAGAGCTCCTGAGCTTTTATCGTTCCCTGTCGGAGCAAGTAAGGGCTGGTGGAACGGGCTGGAGCGAGGGGAAGCCAGGGGCAACAAGGGAGAGGGGATATAGATGTATATGGTCTATTGCCAGCACCACCCAAGGTGGTTTATAGGCCCTCCTGAAGATGCATTTTCCATCCAATAACCGCAACCACCTGAAATGGGTAGTGCTAGCATCCAAGGGGCCAAACATGTGCTTCTCGGTGAAAAGCGGGTACCTCGAGGATTTGACGTGAAGGATGGGCTGGACATGGCTGGGCTGCCGTGAGTCCGGAAGATCTGCTGGGGTCACTTCGCAGCGAGATCGGTGCTTTCGAATCGGCTTCGAAGGTCTGAAACCTCTGGGACCGGTGAAACTACCCGGTGCCGTGGTGGACCCGGTGCCGAAGCGGCTTCCGCTCCTCCGAGGCAATTTGAAGACCGTGATGCCGCACTTCCGGCCGTCGATTCACACCACGCATGATGCGACCTGGAGAACGTCGGGATGGGGTGTGGCGCAGCGGTGTGGCGCAGGGTGATAGGCCTTTTGGGATGCGGATCCACGAATCCTGGTGCAGTTTGCCCATTTGGATGGGTGAACAGCTGGCACGTGCGATCCAGGTCGTTCGCCATGCCATCATCCCCATGACCAAGCACAAGAAGACTTCCTATGTGCAGGCGGGGCATGAAAACTCTCCCGCCCTGATCAATCGTGGCATTCGCATGATTTGCACATTTTGAGGTGTTCCGAGTTTGAACGGATTAGTGCGTGATTCTTTGTGTTTGGGCTCCCTTTCCCCAGTTGGCATGTGTCACCATCACGGTTGTTTTGATGTGCACTACGTTCTCCAAGGGAGGGTGGGGAGATGTGCCAATCGACATGATCAAGCCTAGCTTTGAGCAAACCCACGGCTCCGAACGTTTTCTCCACCGCACTCGTGCAATCTGGTTGGTACGACTCGCCAGCATTGACCTGGGCACCCGCTTGTTATGGTCCTCTCAAAAGGCCTGATGAGTTGGAGTGCAAAGCTTACTAGAGTCCTCCGCCGGAAGCTTCACATTGGAAGGCCTTCAGCGAACGCGTGCAACAGCCTGGGAAGATGGTCACGTAACGCGCCTGGCGGGGGAAGTGGACGGAGGGGTGTTTCTTTTTTTCTTCTTCTCCCCTCATGCCCTACTTATTAGAGTCACTAGCGATACTTGGAGAAGGCCCCTTTTTTGGCCCGCAGAGGCTGGCTTCAGGGGAAGGACGAAGAATGCCACCTCTCCTTTCCACTACGGGAGAATTAGAAATCGAAGTGGTGTTGGCGTTGTGCAAAACAATCACTGATTCGGTTAGGTAGAACCATCAGGATGCTACAACATGATGCAACATGAGGATTTTCGAGGACAAAACAGCAAAGTCGCGTAAAGTTTAAAGTTCCAACATATGGCATGAGTTTAGAACACTTTACAACCATCCTGAGGTTTTCAAGCACCCACATCTTCCAGTTTCTCAGCTCTCACCTCTCTTCAACCTCGCTCGGGGCATTTCCGGCTCCCAGTAGCACCGGCCGGCTGCGGTGTCGCGGTCGGGACATGGAGGGCCGCCGCTTGCCGGAGCGTCGGCGGGTTGGAGCACTTCTCAATGCGCGGCTTGGCTTCGGCATCGGGTCGGCTTGAACGGTCCCCCTTGCACTTGGCAGAATCGGAGAGTCGAGCGGATGTGGCCTGGGGCTGTTCTTTGAAGATGTTAAGGTGACGTAAACTGGTTGCTCTTGGGGTGTGTTTGCGCTATTGGCATGCCAAATGGGGGTTCCTATGGGTTCCTATGGGTTCCTGCAGAGGTACTACCACATCGAGGGTACGGAGAAGAAGGATGCGCCTGGATCGACCGGAAGCGATTTGGATCGACAGGGCTTCGATGCCAAGCGCTCCTGGGCGACACAGCGTCGAGAACAGGTCGCACCAAGTGCAGAAGCGGAAGCAGGTGTATCGCGACACGAAGGTAGCAAGAAGCTAGTAACAAGGACATTGCTACATCAATTACTACTACTTCGTAGCTAGAAGCTACGTTCGCAACAAGGGCAGGTCGATGCCGAGATCAGCGATCATCGCGAGTTCAACTGGTGCCACCGAGGTGGTGACTTGTCCGACGAAAGTAGGGAATGAGGGAATTGGATCCAATGGAAGCTCTATTGGGGGGCTCCTACCTTACTAACAACAGTCATAGTTGGGACTTCTTTTGATTCCAACCCACCTCGCGGAGGTGGGGGGGCTACCTGGGCCAATGTGGGCGCACGCCTCTCGGTGCTGGTGTCCCTCTGCAGCGGACCCCGGACGGTCGCTGGTGTCGGCGCTCGGAGCCGCCGCGGAGGCTACTTCGATGGCATGGTCTCCTCGGGTCAGCTTCCAGAGTTGGTGAAACGCGCCAACGAGCTGGATGCTGAGATCAAGGACCCCGTCCCGAGTCCTGGGCACGGGCCGGCGGAGTGCTTTTTTCCTGATAGATAGATAGATAATAGATCGATAGATAGATAGATGTTCATAGACATTCTGAACATACATGTTGAAGATAGATTTAAAACATGACTCTTTTTGCTTTGAGAGTTTTTGCTTTTTTGGGCGCAAGGTTGCATGAGGAGGGCGAAAGTGGTAAGACGTGATGGCAGACGTGGTGGGCACAGGTACTTTGGGGCGTCTCTGTTGGTGGATTCATAGCGACCGGCGTAGCGTCTCTCGGTCGTTTTCAGGTGTGGCCCGGTTGCACCTTGGCTCAGTTGATCACCTGGGTCCCTGGATCACCTGGACCCTCTTGGCCCGTTTTGAGACGCCCCATGTTTCTGATCTGTCTGTAACCCGCCGCGTTGCGCTGGACCGGACCCGGTACGAGCCTCCTCCAGGCTCTCGTGCGGGTTCACGGACCAGAAGGGACCGAACGGACCGTGGCACCGAACGTTGAGGACCTGGATGGGGACATGCAGATGCTCGTGTATGAGCGGCTTGGATTCAGTTCTGGCTTCGCGCCACTGGCGTTCCGCGTGACCTGCAGGAAGTACATCACTGGGTCGTTGGAGCAGGATGGTCAAGGTTTTAGATCGTTTTAGGAGCTTACATGGTTAAGTGGGGCTCTGTAGGGGCATCAATAACGGCCGATGGATGAGACTCCGTGCTTTGAACTCCCGCGACGCTTGCGCTCAGGAATTACAGTAAGTTCATACGAGCAACGGTCACTTGGCTCAGAGAGGGGTCTCGGGTCCCTCGAGTCCAAGCAGTCAGAACGTACGAATCCAACATCGAGTGGACTATGACTACCATGTTGCCAAAGGAGTGCGACACTGCTTCATGTCCTTTGTGAACAAACACACCACGTGAACTCGATGGCTAAGGATGTCATCAAACAGATGAAGTTCACCATCGAGGGGCTTGACCCAGACTTAAAGGTTCTGGAAGGCAACGTTAGCAGGAGAGACCCTTCTTCTAAATGCTTTGTATGCAGTTCGCATCACAGATGACGCGAAGCGCAGACGATGTCTTCTTAAGCCACTATTCAGACTTAAGCGTGTGCCAATCCCCAATTGCTTGTAGCGTGACTGCAGGATCACCGACCACCAAAAGAAGGTCGAGGATGGCGTTTCTGGACGTGCTGGGGAGATTGAAGGCCTGCTAAAACAGCCGGGCGCTCATGATTGTCGGTGGAAAAAACAGCATTGGAAACTCTTCTTGCCAACGGGAAGGTCAAACCTTTTGGCAGACCATGGTTAGTTACACCGGCTAAATTATCTTCCGAGGCAGCGCATCTGCCGGAAGTTGCAGGCGAGCTCCGCCACGTTGTGCTCGTTTGACATTGGTATGGGGGGCATTGTCCACTTCTGGGCTAGAAGGCCGGCTCTCAGGGAGCGTTTTGGACAGCTAACAATTGGAGGACTGCCCATTGCTGTCAGGGAAAAGGGTCGGCAGAGGCTGGAATCCAAGTGGGGGGGAAAGGCCCTGATTTTGCATAGTTTTTCCGCTCATGACCTGTCACCATTCACCAAGTCTCACCACCTTCAGGTGCTTTTTGAGCTACCCAGCACACTGCAGAAGTGCCTGGATCGGAAGGCTTATGGTGAGGCAGTGGAGGCCTATTGCCGCCCGGCAGCAGTAGACAGTGTGAGGATGTGAACGACTGAGCTCAATGGTTTGTTTGGAACCTTGAGAACCGCTGTGCATGTATTACGTAGCAGCACGATCCCGCAATGCAGTGACATAGATTGACATAGCATCTCAGTATATTATTCTGGAAAAGGAGATTTCCGGGTCTACTCTCTCAGGGTTGGCTTGCAGGGCCACGCAGACCTTGGTCCTTTTCACCATCCACAGCAACGCTGTTGGCACTCCATGGTCGCTGAGGCTGCTGCTCCGGCTTCCTCCGACAGTACAGGCGCCTCCGACAGTACAGCTGCTGAGGGAGGGAAACGGGTGGACAAAGGTCTGGAACTGTGGGGCATACAGGCGGAGAAATGTGGGGCATACAGGCGGAGACAATCGGAGACACATATTGAGATTGAATAGACCCATTGGTGTGCAGAAATGACACTATGACACTTGTACCTTCAATACGCAACTCAATTGTATAGTCCAACTTACGCAGCTTGCTGCAGTGGCTGGCAGTGCTACCAGACACTCCAAGCAGTTGTCTCGTTGCAGTTGGATGGAAGCTTAGATGTAGATGACGCGGGAAGAAACGCGTGCTGAGCTGGATGGGTCAATGGGTTGAGCATCATGAGCTACACGGGTTTTCACCCATCTTCGAGCTGAGCTTCGTCATGGCCTGACCGGGGGCCAGGCACATGCCGACCTTTCAGAAGGTGCTGGAAGAGGCTCCAACGGCAGACGCCAGCTGAAGAAAACAGAAACAGCGATTCCCTGTGTTGTCGAGGAGGATGCCAAATTTGGAAGAGGTCTTTGTACAGGTGCGATGATCTTCCAATGTCTTACCAAGGCCTTCCAAAATGATCTTCCAGTGTTGGATTTGCCAAGATCTTCCCATGTGATGATCGTGTGCGGCCTGTGTAGTGATTTCTGGTCTCCACCTCTGCCAATAGATCGTCCAGATCGTGCAGATCGGACCAAAGAGTTGAAATCGCGATCAACATTTTGGAGCTTCAAATTCCTTTCCAGCTTCCTTTTCGAACTGGGGATTCTCTTCCCAAAATCCCCAGAGTTTTCGTGATCACCTGGGGATCCAAGATGCTTTCGAGGTGGGGATCTGATTCATTCTGATTCTATACACGTCAATTACTGGGCGCCTTTCTATCCTTTGCCGGATGGCGCTTTGGGCACGTTGCCGGATGGCGCTTGCCAGGTGGAGCTGCAGATGGGCCGCATCCGAGTGGCGCTGGAGGAGCGGCTGCGCTCGCCCGAGCTCTCGGTGGATGAGGCTGTCAACAGCCGGGGCCGTTAGCAGCCGAGGGGAGGTTGGAGGCGGAGCGGAAGTCGGAGAGGCAGCTGCCTCCTAACAGAGGGAGAGCAACTGTTGCCGAATTGTCTAAGGACTAGGGAGGGCAAGCATGCTTCGTATTAGGTTTTGTAACGGTTGGCCATCCTAGAACAAGCCGAAGCAACCAACTCAAACAGCCAAGCAATTTCTGGAGTTGTGCTGTGTTGCTCAAACCTTTGCCCAGGCTCTGTTACGCTGCTAGACCTCGGGGAAGACCAAGTGAAGGTGGTGAGCGAATACCTCACTGGCAGGCCCGGGAGGGAACCACACAGGGAGGGACCAACGTTGAGCGAATCAAACGGGTGAGGGGGAAGATAGAACATTTTGGCTTCTATCATCATTGCCAAAAACAGGGGAGCACTACCCACAGGTTTATGCTTTCGACAACTTGCTAGTGGGGGCATTTGCCTTCAAAAAGACGTTGCGTGAGTGAAGCAGATGCAAAGGTTTCTGACTGCAGGGGCAGCGGAGCAGCGAGAGGGGTTTGTCAGAATGTCAGGAATATTTTTGAACTGGCACATGTGGCTCACCAGTTGCGAGTTCTGTCTTTGGTTGGGGACCGGTCAGCCTACGCAAGGCTGAGTTTGACGACGGTGTGCCTTAGCCTCCTTGCCCAGGACTGCCACCCTGCGACGCAGCCTGAGTGATTGCTTTGCACCAAGTGCAGCAGGCTCTGATTGTTATTCGTGTGTTCTCATCAGGGGGGTTGAAGCCGCCAGAATCAGCACAGTTTAGAGTTGATCAGATCCATGTTCCCAGCTCCCCATAGCTTGGCCTCAAGGTTTCAATGAGTGCAACCGGTAAGCAGGGGGAAGTTCCCATAAAGACAAAGTGCAATAGCAAATGCCGTCGATGGAGATCATACACATGTAAACGTATCACATCCACATCCCTACGCTTCCAACCGCTATTGACCAATTGTTGCTTCACCAAGTATTTTGCACTACAACACCAGGTGAACCTTTGAAAAACAAATTGGACTCCCAGGGGCATAGAGGGTCATTGAGTCATAGATGGTAAGTTCCTCGATGCTCCAGCAGCGCAGATGCTCCGGCTGTGGAGGGCGAACTCACGAAGGACCAGGCCGAACGAAGCAGCTGACTGACTATGACCACCATCCTGACTGACCAAGCCATGCAATCCTGGTTGGTGGTGCAAGAAGCGGCTTACCTTCCCTCCAACCAGGATGGCTTGGTTTGACAGCTATGTTGAGATGACCTGGTTTGTTCCACATCCATGCTTGCAGGGTTGTTGGGTGACTGACTGTGGACCGAAAACATGTTAAACATGTCGTTAAAGAGGGGACAACCCCAACAGTAGAAATGGACCCCTGGGTGATTGATTTTGCGCAACGAGCCAAAGACTTGACACTATGTAAGTCTGTTGAAAGCAAATCCAAGGTTGCTTGCCTTCCCTTGTTGCTTCCGCCTGGTCCATCGCCTGGTGCTTCGCCTGGTCCAGGAGGAGCTCCGACGCCCGGAGTCCATGGCCCTGCACACGGCCTGCGGCAAAGCCACGGAGGCCTGGGTTGCGTCAAAGGAGGAGAGCGAAGCAAGCAGCTTTGGTTGGGGATTTTCAGGCCAGGCCAGCTTTGAATGAAGAAGCATAGACAAGTATCTTTTATATGATAGATAGCCATATTTACAGCCTTCGGCATGCCGCCGGCCACCAGCTCGAGCCCGCATTGGCAGGCCGCCTAATGATGCTTATTCACAGTCAAACCGTAGATTGAAACCAACCGGGGCAGGGCAGGCTGTCGAAACATCCGCGCGGAGAAACAAACCGTAGATTGAAACCAACCGTAGATTGAAACCAATGGAAACCAACACAAGCCAGACGAAGCAAGACAATCCACAAAGCCGGTACTTGAAAATGAGTCTTCTTCCAAACTACTTGGCCTTTTGCATGTTTTCCTTTTCAGATCTTTTTTTCGACCGTCTCGAGGGATTGCGACACGCACCAGATATTCACACACAGAAGGCTTCCAAGCGACCGAAGAATTTGTAGATCCGGCATGATTTGTCGTTTTTTCTCCAAACCGTTTGAAATGAAAGACCCAGAATGACATCGAACAACAATACCCTGCTCAATCAGACTTGTGGGTGCATTGGAGTTGCACATTTTGCTGGGAGAGTTTGTTGATGTTGATTTCAAGCGAAGTCGTTTTACAATGAAATGGAACGAATCCGAATCAGAGGTTGCCTATTCTGATTCAGCTATCCACATGTCTCAGTCCTCAGTCTAATGGTTGTCTTTTCTGATCCAGCGATCGACATGTCTATGTCTCAGTCCAATCACCTTCAACGCGACGTAGAGAGGGGGGAGGGGGGGGGGTCAGGCTGTCGAAAAATCCGCGCGGAGATACAAACCGTAGATTGAAGCCAACACAAGCAATACTAACCAAAACAATCCACAAAACACGCCGGCAGGCCGGCGGATTATAGGCTTATAGATGTTCATGATATGTGTACACTTATCACGAAAGGTAGCCTGGTAAGGACTACCTTGAGTTTGCCTCGCGAAGCAAAGGGACTGGCTTGAGAGCCTGCTCGGAACTAAAGATTGGTAGATCAATGTCTAACACCCCCACCGCCCCCTCTCATGTGATGATTCATTGATAAATCAATTGTTTTGCATCCCCTCCCCTCCCCTCCCCTCCCCTCCACTCCCCTCCCCTCCCCTCCCCTCCCCATCCCCTCCCCTCGCCAGCGCTACTAGCATTCTGGACACACCGTCACACCATAAGGTGAATAAGGTGAAGTCATGCGCGTAGCAGTCACAGCAGTACGACGCTGGCCATGAGGTTGCGCAATACAGCACGAACCCTGCACAATGAGGTTGCGCTATGCAGCTTCGATGCTGCGCGTGCGCGCCCGGCAGCCTGACATAGCGCGTACTGCGTTCACAGACCATATTGCTCGACACCAACGAGCATCGATGCAACACAGCCTCTCTGCAAAGCCCTGTGGAGAAACCTCTCGCTTCGCGGAGCACCGTTCGACTCAGCCTTATACCTTCGCGTGGCGACATCTTACCGCGTCGTGGAGCACCACTACACAGCTATTTACTTTTATGCACCCTTCCCATCAGCCACCCACCATAGCGTGACGTCCATCCCTGGCAGTGCCGGCGGCTGCGACGCAACGCGTGCAGGCCTGTAATCCTGACACAGCGCGTGTAGCTGTGGGACCATCGAGCGTTTACGCATTGCGACTTTTACGCGCGCCTGTTTTCACACACCTTTACACAAACGAGCGTCGACGCAACGCAGCCTCTCTGCAGAGCCGGGTGGCGCAATCTGATCACAACGGTGTTCCTCTTGAGCCTTCTTGTGCTCTTTGGCTTCGTTGGTTTCATCCATGACTGACCAAGGGGAACGTTCCTGAAACACTGGAGACTGGAGACAGTCCCTCACCAGAAAAGGTCCCGACAGCTACCCGGTCCGTCTCTACCTTTCGTGTTTCCCCGCTCAAGTCTGCACATGGATCTTAGGCCCCCAACTCAGGTTTCCAAGTGTTTGCAATCCGGGCCGCAGTTCTTGTCCACCTTGGCACCTGGGTCTCCTCTACCTCAAAAAAATTGATTGAGTGTGTATCTCTGCATTGCATCCTCTTTGCACAGGCCTACGTGCCGCCTTTGTGCGATGCAGTTGAAGGTGGGATGTGATGCGAACAGGGCGAACTGTCAGACAATGTCAGACATGGCTCAGCAGCACTCGGCAGACAGTGAGATCACCGACCAGGGTTGGATGGGTGCCTGTCACCGACCAGGCTATTGAGTGCTGCAAGAATGTAGGATGGCTAATTCTGTTTTGGGCAGCGGGTTTTTGGAGTTCTGAGCTTGAGCTCTGAGGCTTTCAGAAGCTCTTGGAAGTGAGCCGCTTGAACGATGAAGAGTCGGCGGAAAGCTTGTTGGACATCCTTAGGGCTTTGGAATTTAAGCTGGTTTAACTACCCCAACCTGTCTTCCACTTGTTAAGTCTAAGCCAAACTGGGCCACGCGTCTCGCTTACACGTAGCCGGTTGCAGCGTAGTTGGGTCATGTGGTCGTGTCATTCCATGTCGCTCGTAGTTGCTCATGATCATTGCCTTGCCCAAGGAAACGCCTCCGGAGCAACAGTGGATGAGAACGTCCTGCCAGACTTCGTCAGTGCAAGGATCGAGGACCTTTGTGTGCGGCCCTCAGCGGCCATAGTGAACAAGTCGAGAGAGACATGAGATTCTTCGATCCTATTCCAGCGACATGGGGTTTACAACATGACCTGGCCGTTGCATGGACCGCACGAACGCGCTCGTCTTCCGGACCCAGTCCAACCCCTTCGGGTCCGATGCGCTCGTCGGAACCTTGATGTCTCAGGAGCGCATCACGCAGCTGGTGGATCAAAAGGTCCCTCCCAGCAGGGTCTTGGTCTCTTGCATCCATTCGGTGCGAGATTCCCTCAGGCCGGTGCCAGTGGGACACTGCGGATTGGATGGAGTGTCCCACTTCTTTGGAACATTTGACCTTTGTTTTGAACATGTTCTCTTGAACATTGATCGGGAGGGTTTTCTTGTCTCATGATGGCCCAAAAGTTTCTGAAGACAAATGTTGGCACCTGGTGGCGGCAGCAAGCAGACCTAAAACGAGCATGCCCACAAGTTCTGGTGGAAAGAAACCTCCCCATTGCTACCATGAAGCATGAGCAACATGACCTGTCATGGAAGTCCTGGACCTCTTCGACCGCCCCTGGTAGGCGCCTCCATTCACTGCTGCCTGCATTGCTCACTCGCCTCTTCCGCTCCTTCCTGACCCGTACGGCCCGGGCCGAATGCCTGCCGCGGCGGTTGAACGTGTGTGTGTGGCATCGGCGTGGTTGAGAATGACCGGTTTGGCACATGTGAATGATATATTGATAATCTGAAGCTTGTGTTTTCTGTTTGGAGCTTGAGTTGCACTGGCAGCTGCAGCTGGACAAGTCAGGCATAGAAACGCATTGGGCATGCACTTTCCAGCCTTTGATCTTCCATGAGGCCATGGATGCCATGCGCTCCCTGTTTGCGACCGCCTGTTCCCAGATGACCTCGGAGCTTTGCAAACTGTCGGCTTACCCGGTGAGATCCAGCCGAGAGTGGGGAGAGACTTCACAATGATGACGGACCAGTTGACTTCATTGACTATCAGACTATCAGACCTCTCAATCAGGACGTTCTCACGTCCGCTCCCGGATGAGTCACGGCCTTCACCTTCACTGTCCCCCCCGCCCTTCCCCCCTTCCACCTCCGCCACCTCGCGGCACCTGTGTCCGCCGCACGCGCGCGCGTGGCCGGCACCGAGGCACGGGGAGTGCAAGAACCTGGGCGAGTCATCGAGCTCAGGCGGAGAACGGGAGTGAAGATGGATTGGGCGTACGAAGTCGGCGGACCGAAGTGATTCAGTCGGCGAGATGACTGGAGGAGATGATACATACCCTGGACTCCAGATATCTCTAGTGTTTTTCGGGGATGTCATGCTACTATAATAGGATGATATATATATATATATTGAGAGAGAGGAGTTCTGAGCTTCCATGTTTGCTCGGTCGACGAGGTCTTTTCGTGCCCTGAAGTTTTTCCGCCTGACGAACCCGGACGGTAGGCCTCGACGATGTCTTGGAGGAGATCGCCAAGACTGAACAAGCCTTGATCATGCGGCTGGGAAGCATGTTCATCCGAGCTCCATTGAAAGCAGACCACACTCCTGACCACATATGATGTGACCCTTCTCATTGGTCGTCCGTGCGTCCATGTTTCCGTCTGTCCATGGTGCGTCGAGGAATGGCTTTACAGCTCTCACTGAATGCCAACCATTGCAGAGCCTGCTGGGGCCGGACAAGGTCTGGTCTGGGCTGCTGCGACAGCGGAGCGGGGAAACACGGTGCGTCGAGGTCGAATGGATCGGCTCCTTTTCCGGTCTCCCAAGCAAGCTCTGGACCTACCACTAATTTGCCACCAATCCTGCCACTGTGTTGTTGAACTGTGGGCTTTTCACTTTCTTGTTTGAGCCTTGGCCTCCGCAAGCCATTTCGTTGGCCCGGAACTTGCGGGGCGCACAGCATGCTGCGCCCCGCTGCAATGCAGCGCCTCACTTTGGCTTTTGCCTTGGTGCAGGCGCGAGCGCTTCGGGCAAGACAAGGTTTTGAAAGGCATTCCTTTTAACTTGTGTCCTAGCCCGGGTAATTCTGGTACACAAATGTACATCATGGACTCGTGTCGTGTACACCCGCAAGATTTGGCTCAAGATTTAAGATCAAGGCTGAAAGTGAGCATTTCGTCCTTCAGACTTTCAGACCTTCGCAGAGCTGGATGACCGAAGCCGACCCGTCACCGCCGCTGGCGCCGCTGTATCAGGATAAGTTTGTGGACATTTACCAGGATCATCTGAACATCAAGTGCTTTTATTTCCCCTTTGGCTGGGAGAGGAGGATCGCCATTGGCCCTGGTGCCGGTGTGAGTTTCACCACGGACCGAGAGCTGGGCTTTCGATGGAGGGACCGGAAAGCCTGGGGAATGGCGCTGAACAACGTCTGGTGGGCTAGGGACTGGGTGCGGGATCCCGTGCTGAATCTGGGTGGGCCACCCCGGCACCTGGGTGTGGTGCTCAAGGTGGGAGCTGAGCCGTTTCGAAAGGGCTTCAGTGTCGAAGATGAAGCAGCGGCTTTGAGAGCTCTTGAATCTGTTTTGCCCAGGACGGGCCAGACTGAGAGGACAGAGATGACAGAGCAACCTCAGCCGCCCTCCAGCAACGCTCAGTCATCTACAATGTGTAAATGACCGAGAGTATGGTTGGACCCTGTCTCCATGGGGCTGACAGTGGGGCTGACCTTCTGCTCTTGACGGCCTTTGTTGATTCGCACTTTTCACTTTTGCTTTTGCCACATATGCTTGAGTTCATCCTTATCCGACTTTGATGCAATACTTTTGTACAGTATCCCGCTGCCAGGATGGATAAACATATCTCACTGTTTGTGCTGTCCATGTTTGGAATGTGGGTTGCTTTTGGCCCTCCATTGTACGGTACCGTCACATGCATGCCATTTGGCTGCAGTGTTTGTCCAATAGGTTCATATGTCATATAGTTGCTATGACTGGTTGCCAGGCTCTGACAAGGCATGAACATTCCATGTAGACTCAATTGAGCATCTTCGATGATGCTTGGGGGCCATTCTTCTTCCCACGGAGGCTGTGGCGGGAAGAAGCTGCAGCTGCGACTGCTGTGAGACTTCCGTGGCTCGAGAGGAGATTGGGGAACAGGTCTGGCAGAGTTGGGTGTTGCAATTCCTTGAGTTCCTTTGTTATTTTTTTGCTTTGGCTGGGAGTATATCGGACTATCAAAGACAGTGAAATGGGTCCTTGATTCTTTTAAAACATGTTCTTTTTTGGAAGTTGCTTTCGTCCTTGCAGTTGGAATAGCCTTAGTTTAGAGTTCTGAAGGACACGGGCACGGATATCATTGATCGAAGAATAGGTACTCTTAAACTGGTGCCCTGTTTCGACGGTGATTTATTTGGGTTCTTTCTTTGGCAGAACTCCATTCCCAGAAGCTCATCCCCGACCAGGAGGCGGCCCTGCAGTGCAGCCTGGCTCAGGGTGCCCCGACGGCGCCCAGGCAGGATCCTTCAACGTGAGTCTTCCACAGTGTGCTACCAAAACGGCCTGAGAAGTTGGTTTCATTCTCTTGTGGGGTGGTCAGTTGTAAACGGCACATCTGGCGCGTGGCCCGGGGTGAGAGGAGTCAAGTTCCTGAGTTAGGAAGTTACTTTTTCACATTCGCGGCCTAGGGAGTTACTAGGCCTGTTGTTTCAACGGATCTCAAGGGTCCGCGCTGTTTGGCTCCCCAAATTCCTAAACAATCACCTTGCTAAAAATGGAGATCATTTCAAGCTGACGCACTCCTTCTCTTCCTCCCAATCCCTTCTGAGCACTGAGCGCTTGGTCACGCTTGGTCAGGTGCGAGAGCTTGTGTGCCAAGAGTGCAGAGGATCACGTGTTGGAACCTTTTCTTCACGACCGGCGGTGCCGTTTTTCCTCCCCTTGCGCGCCAAATGGTGTGGATCGCCGCACCGACCAAAAAACGGGGGCCAAACAACGGAGCAATAAATCATAATAAATCTGCAGTCTACAGTGTACAGTATCACATTCTTTGATGAGTCTTATGTATCTATTATTGGATTTATGAAGATTGATTTATCTTATGGGCGTATCTTTGAAGCAACAAACCAGACAATCTATCTTTAGCTTATGGCTTCCGATTTCTTCCATCCCTCTGGGAACGCATGGTTTGCGATACACGCGTGCTTCATGATGGTTTCGGCCGTTATCCTGCTCAGCGCCAAGGAAGCCGCCAGCCTTTTAGACACCGAGCGCTTCTGCTTTGCGGAGTGTGTGCCAGCCAGCGAGGAGTCCATCTCGTGGTCTCCAAGCATTCTGTTTTGATGAAAGACGCGGTGGATGGATGTGACCTTCATCCAGGTGACCAACATATCCAGGTGGATGGATGTGACATGGTGGATGTTTTGATTTAGGCCTTTCCAACATATTTGGTGCCTGATGACCTTCATCCAGGTCTTTTCTTTGCAAATCGTCGACGGTGCCACGCTGCCGTTGGGCCGTTGAAGCGTTGTGTTTGCACCCTGGAAACGACCCAAGTGTTTTTGGACTCGTCCATTGAGACCAGGAGACATGGATGGATTCCAACATTAATTGGCGGCTAGCAGGGTGGCGACAGACCAAGAGAGGGGCAGCTCTGGTGGTTGCCTCCAACAGTAGCTCAAGAAACATAGTGCAGTGCACCATGTGTGAACTATTGTGGACTTACCTTACTTCTCCCTTCCTTGAAAACCCCTCCTGTTGTTTTGGAGATCCCCGAGTCCCCGAGTTCGGTTCAGCACAGAAACGGAAACACCTGGGACACCCCCCCACACCGGACAACTCACACGGCTGGAGCGGAACCACAGGACGCCACCGCTGGGGCGCCTTGCTACCCTTTGGCCGCCGGTGCGCCGGGCCCCGGACGCCGTGCGCTCCGGGCCCATCGGCTTCCACGACCCGAGCGGCGCGCCGTCGTGGCACCGGCGAAAGTGTCGTTGGCCCGAGCAGGACGGATGTCGAGGGAGCGGTTGGAGGGAGCGGTTGGCCGTGTTGAAGCAGCACTGTTGGCCCGTGTTGAAGGAGCTGCTGACAGCTCCCCCACCGACAAGTTGCTGGAGGATGCCCAGAAGCAAGCAGCCAAGGCCAAGGATGCTGCCGAGGCTGTTCCTCGTCTCAGAAAGGGTCCATCAGGACATCCTGCACCACCGAGGTGCGTTGACATATTCTGTTCTATCCAATTCGTATTTATCGATTTATATCGATTTTATCGTGAATCCACTGCATACCCAAGAGCAAAAGCAGGGCCCAGAGATCTTCAGAAGAGGATAGAACTTGGCAGCCTGGGGCGAGGTGCAGGTCTTCAAAGACAGGTCTGTATGGGAAGTGAACTGAGGCTGGGATGGCATGCATGCCATGACCAGATTCAATTCGATGTGGCGATTCTGTTCACCCGAAGCGTTCGGTCCATCAGCTTCAGTGGTTTGGGTCAGTTGGAACATGCCGTTGGCAAGATGCCAGCGCCTTCACCCATCCTTGAAGGTATCTTCACCCATCCTCCAGTTCATAGAATCTGACGATTCATCGCCCTCCAGTTAGTGCAATGAGCACTTTGCTATAAGCAACGTGCTAGCCATGTTTCATCTACAGCAGCAAGCACGAAGATGGAGGACTTGGCTGTTGTAACCCTGCACCACTAAACCCTCCCCCCAAAAAAGGAGCAAATACGTTTTTTTTTTGGTCTCTCTCTCTCTCTCTCTGCGCTGGTGCTTTCGCCTTCCCTCCAGCGGCACCTCGCCATGCCCAGGTGCAGCGTGCCAGCTACGGCGGCGTGGCCACCGTGTCGGAGGCCGCGCGCGCGGAGGACGATGCCCGGCGGGCTGCGGGCTTCGCCATGGGCGTGGAGGGCCAGGTGGGACGCAGTCGGCATGGGTTGGAGTGTTTCATTGGAGACAGCGATGGGTTTAGGAAGAATAGGTGCTTTCACCTATATAATCTTGACTCACCTATCTTTTTGGGACCGGGTGGGTGTCCCTGCCTCGATTTGCCTCCTGCGGATCTTCTGGGGCTCCAGGTGGCTCAAATGCTGGCACAGGCGAAGCACCAGGCCCATGACGAGGCCAGGTGCAGAGCGTTGGCGTTGCAGCTGCAGCTCCGCGGGTCCTAGACACCTAGACATCCCTAGACTCATAGAGTCGAGGCGGCGTGTTGATTTGGACCACATGACCATGATTGCTCCATCACGTTGGGCCAGATTTGGACCATCAAACAGTGGTCATTTTCCCTGGCAAGCTAGCCAGGCAGCCAGGTAGCCAGGGCTGTAGTGAGTTGAACTTCCAGATTCACCTGTGCCTTAAGTTGTTTTTTCGAGGATTCTTGTCAAAGTGGGTGAAAGGCAAGGCCATGGCCATTGATATTTGGACCCAGAACCTGGAGGGAGGAAGCATAGAAGAGGCAGAGGGAGAGGTGGGGGGTCTGGTCCGAGCAACAGTCTCTCCATGCAGATCCCGCCACAGGCTATTGCAACAATGCAGGAGGTGATGCCAGTGGTCCAGTTTCTCAGCACAAGAGGACTTGAGAAATGCAAGCCTTCTGTCGACCACTTGAGAACCTGCCGACAGAGTAAGGTCACACCATGCAACGCCCACCTTTCGGAGCTTGATCGGAGCTTGAGAATTGAGACCATCTCAGGCAAGCAGCTCGCGATGCAGCGAAGAAGGAGGCGACCACTGGGCCTTTCTCCAAGTTGGAGAAATCGCAACAGGAGCAAGTCAAGGCATGGGCAACTCCTTGATGAAGGTCATTGCCCAAGTCCAGTCATTGCTGTTGTTCACTTCCATGTTTCTTGCCTCGGCCCGTGCCCTCATGACCTGGATTCCTGAGAGAAATCACTCCACCTCGCTTTCGGGAGGCGACCGCCGCAGCGGCCTCCGCGGGCGTTGGATGGGCAGAGGCCATGGCAGGGGCCACGCGCGTGCGGGACGCCTACAGCCGCAGGAGTCAAGACTTCGCGCAGGCGGATGGGCTGATGGCAGGGGACTTGGGTGGCGCAGATGGGGAGGGATGGTATTATTTTTTTGGTTTTCTTCAACATCTTCAACCATGGTGAAGATTGGAGGATAGGATGGAGTGGGGTGGCCCGTTCTTCGGCGGAAGACATCCACATAGAAGACATCCAGAACCACCTGTTTGCCCGGGGTGGCATAGGGCTGCGGAGGCTTTTGAGAGGTGAAGAGGTTGACAGGCTCGACCATTAGGTTCCGCCACATATATTTTTTTGATGGATTGAGAGTATATAGATGGCACAATCCCACCAAGGAGGTTTATATGGATCCTGGGGTTCATGCCATCTAGTCTGAAACCACTGTAAGTGCTTTGTGCATGTCATGATTGAAGGTGAATGCCTTAGATGGGAGTGGCAGCTCGATATCTGGGGCTTTGGTGGCCATGGACTTGTTCAGGTACAGCTGTAGTATTAAATTCTAAGTTACTACTAGCGTCCTTGTTCCTAGTAGCGATGCCCTTTGCTCCTAGTAGCGTCCTTGTTCCTAGTAGTAAGGCCAGGAGCCCCTAGTAGCGTCCTTGTTCCTAGTATGCCACATTCATACCGAGCAGTGGAACTTTGGCTCGTTTCCCACTGGTTCACTTTTGTCGAAAAACGGCCAAACCCATCATCGAGCCATTTCGTAGACTCCAGCGTGGATTCCATGCTCCTCGGGCAGAAATTCGATAATTAGATAAATACACTCAAGAACCACTTGCATCTCCCAACAACTCAAGATGATAGTCACTATTCTGTAGATTCCAGCCTATCCAACTCTTAGATAGATAGATAGATAGATAGATTCCCACAAAGACTTTCACCATCCCAGATTTTCCTTAGCTTCTCCTCAGATTTGCTGCAGGGTCTCGGTGGGTTCGTCTCCTCTACCAGCTTTCCACTTCAGTCGCCTGTGGGCAGGCGGCCGCCGCCTCTGAGCAGTCGGCTCAGAGCTTGGCCATGGAGGCCAAGGAGTGGCGGCAGCTGAGCGGTGCCGACCCCACGAAGCGCGCGAAGGTGCAGCGGAAGGCCATGCGATTGCAGGAGGAGGCCAGGTGTGGCAGAATGATGCAAAATGGTTGAGATAGAGACAGGGAGAGAGTTAGGTGGCCTTAGATGAATTTGGGTGTTGAAAATTCCAATGCCTCGTGCCACGAGGCCAACGAGGCCTTGACAGCAGCCCGGGAGGAGGATCAGACACTTGGCACCGATGAGGATTTGGGGCATGAAGTGAATCGAAGGCGCATACTACTCACTAAGGATAAAAGATATACATCCATCCCTCCTCCACCCCCCAAAAAGCCTAGAGCAAGATACAGACAGACGAAAGCACTGATTTAGGTGAGGGGTCTCCACTCTTCAGATTCGTTTTTAACTTGAACCGGGGGTAAACTGTTGTTTGTCACATCCCTGACGCCAATGCAAGAGATGCCTCAAAGCCAAGCTTGTGTACGCCAGGAAAGCCCAGAAGTACCTCAGCATCGCAAAGTCTATTGATGACTCCTTGCCAGCCTATTCCCAACAGGCAGAGCAAGGTGCCTATCATGCCATGTCAATGGTGGCACCTGATGTCCCAGCACCCTTGCCGCCCCTGGTCTTTGTGCAGAAGAAGAAGTGAGTGCGGGGAAGAGGAATAATTGAATGCCACAGGGAAAATGTGAAGGCGCTCGGAATTGAGTGTTTGTGGTGCTACAGTAAATTGTATGCATTCACGGGACGAACCGGCATGCTGATCTGAGTGGGATTTCTCCCCCAGATAAAAAAAGTAAGGGAAGCGCATGGTTTGGCAGATATTTCTTTCTCCCAAATCTTGGCTCTCTGGTGCACTCCGACTTTCTAACACCAAAGGGGAACGCACGTGGGAGGATCATCCGTTGCCGCCGGCAGTTTGGACATATAATATCGTATAATATAATATATAACTAATAACAATAGTATTTTTTGCCTGCTCCACCACTTGACATTGCTGTCGAGATGGTTTCAGCCACAAACTGAAATGTGTGGTGCCAGGTGGCGAACCAGCAGCTGCTACGAGGTTTGCAAGCGCAGCCTGGGGAGCCCAGCAACCACGGATTCACACATGTCTATACGCAGGAAAGTGCTTGAACTTAGTGACTGCATGCCTCCTCGGTGCGTGTGGACTTTTGCTCACCTCCTCTTGCGTGGATGGCATGCTGCCGATGGCTTCGAATGATGGGTGTTTGTGTGTGGGCTGCAGCCGGTCTGCAGCCGGGTAAAGAAGACCTTCCAGACCAATGCAACCAACACATGGATCCGTGGTGATTCGAACTTTCCCGAGGCGCTCAGTTTGGAGCAGTTTGGAGGGGTCGTGTTCATCCGGTTCTCAGTGCCAAAGCTCAAGTAGCAAACCAAGCAGTAGCCGTGTAGTATCATGTAGTGTTTGTCATAGTGGATGCCCTGGAAAAGATATGTGAGGACCTAAGTCGGCCCTCTCAACCTATATATATATATATATACACACACACAATGGGTTGACGTCTTTCGACCGACAAAGGCTGGGCGCCTTCTTTAGCAGCTTTGTGGAGCTTTGTCGTGCCTATGCCGCGAGCTCAGGGTTGACATCTGGAAAACGGCGACCGTGGGATGCGCGGGGGGAAGAAGCCTGAAAGATAGAGAGTGCAGGCCTTGGGGTGATGGGGTGGGTCACCGCAAGTGGGACATGCCATGTTGGCCGGCTCCCAGAATCTGTCCCGAATCAGATCAGAGCTCCAATTTTTTCGGTACTCCTGACGCCATGCGTCATGTATTTACAAGCCCCAACACCGCGGCCACACTGCAACCCCGGTCGCGCAGTTTTTGACCGTAGCTGTTTTGCATCCAAGCCTTGCATTCTGCTCCTGACGCACTCCCGTTCGCCATGGCATCTCAGGCAAGAGCATGGGGGGAATCCCATGGTTCGGCTCTCGCCCGGCACCGCACGACAGACCCTGTGGACTGCGGACGGAACCTGGGCCACTGGCTTCGCCCCAGCAGTTGAACTAGACTCGCACCTGCTCTCGGTCGGAAAACATCTACCGGAAAAAAGGCCTCCTCTCAATTTCATATTCCCCTGACTCTTCATGCCTCCCTGGGACTCGTGCGAACGACACACCCTGGCGACCTGGCAGCATGGTGCTTTGCTTCCGCCATGCGAAGCGCTCGAGCGACAGCTCGCGATGCGCTCCGCGCTCGCGCTCCGCCGTCGCGAGCGATGCAGGGAGCCACCTTGCAGAACTACAACAACGAGCTGGTGAAGTCCATTGAGGCTGATCTTGGGTCCAGTATCGTGACAGACCAGTGCCCACTGGCGGACCCACGGCCCGGACCCCCTGGTTGGGGAAACCGACATGTGACACAACTTTTGGATACTCTTGGGAAGTTTGTCAAAGTCTAAAGCCATGAAAAGCAAGTGAAAGGGATTTGGGGCAAGTTTCCACCTTGGCCAGGCCCGGTTCCCTTGCAAAGCTGACAGAACCTTAACAAAGATGCTCATAGACCTGTCTTGAACATGATCAACAGGCGATCTACTTGTAGTCCATCGTAGTTTCAAACAACTTGTTTGAACCTTCCTGGGCTTTCGCCCCAACCGCCGCGCCGATCCAGGACCTGAGGGAGAAGCGAGAGGAGCTGAATCGCCAGATCCTGAAGGAGGAGGAAGACAAGGCAAAGATTCAGAAGGAGCACGAAGTCTGGGAACTACTACTGTCAGTGGGGCAACCGAGCCCACGGTTGTGGGTTGGGTTTCACCGGGAATCAACGGAGCCGCAGGTTTGATCAGGTTTGTCCTTGTGTCCTTGTGGCCATGATGTGGTCAAATCTTGGAAGAAGGATGCGATACAGGATGCAACACGCATGGATCCATTAGATGCCACACACACAAATATATGTATATATATATAATCTATTAAAGGGACTTGGCCAATACCATGCAATACCTCGTAGCTCTCGTTGGCCACAAAACATAGACCTTCAAGCTGACCCTCCTAACCTCAGCGGCCGCAGGAGCTGTCCATTCTGACGGACCGCCTGCAAAAGGTCAATGAGAGCTTGGTGCGCAAGACCCAGGCGCGGGGTCGGCCTGGGGTCGGCGTGTTGGGTCAGAAGTGGAGGGGGGATGGTGAGGGGGAGAGGTGGGGACTGCGAGGGGCCATGAAAGACGTTGGGCTGAGGCATGTGAATGAATTCGAGCAGACCTACATGACTTCACAAGGAAGAAAGTGTATTAAGTGTAGTAGAACAGATTGAGGGAACCGCCCGACTGGCTTGGCAACCACCACAGTGCACAGGGCTTTCTCGCTTTTCCACGGCGGTGTGGACAGAGATCCTGGACGGACCGAGGAACTCGCGCGGACAGCGCGCGCCGCGCCGCGTGTGCGTCCTCTGCAGGCCCGTAATGAGTATGACAAGACCATCCAAGAGACCGAGGTGCTGATGTTTTGGACACGTTTTTTGCATGTTTTTGCTATGTTCGACACTCTGTTGACTGGGTGTGTTTTCTATCTTTGCTGCAGGACATCTTCAAACAACCTCCCAACTGCTTGAGTCTTTGAAGAAATGTTTGGAGCGTTGAAGAGAGTGCCATACGCCTGGAGGCTGCCTACATGAAGATCTTGGAATCTTCTCAGACCTTGCTGCATGTCCTCAAGCGTGAGACCGTGCCTTGGAGAGAGATGCCCCACAGGTGGCATGGGTACATACTCGACACAGGAGAGAAAGCTTTCAAGATGAGCTTTGTGACAGACTAGGGGCTTTGCAGTTTAAGAGCTGTCTTTTTTTTTCTCATGTCGGAAGGCACCGCATGTGGCACAGAGATGCCTTCCCCGGTTCCATCGAATCTCCACCTTCATTCAGGTGAACTTGACCAAGAACAAGCAGTCATCGGACCCTCGGCATCAAAAAGACCGGGTTTTTCCGAGGCCTCCAAGGCCGGTGGGACTCCAGGCCTCCAAATTGGACGTCATAGCATGTTGACTTGGCAGACTCCAGAATCGAAGCTTGACATGTTGGGCTTCCTGACTGGAACATGAACAACATGAACGCGTGAGTAACCATCTTGGCTGGCGCCTGACTTCAGGGGTCATTGGCCAAGGACTGACGCATCGGCCTCGAGAGGGACCACGGCCTGAATTTGCAGCACCTCCATGAAGGATTTGCTGCTGACCTGCCCTGAACGCCTCCAGTAACCTCAATGATCAATGCTATTCAATGATCACTGAAGTAATTGCCTCATTCAATGGTTGTGCTTTCACGTTTCTTCCAATGTCCGATTCCTGGAAGCGAAGGGTTTCACAACTTCCGGGCGTATGGCCTGTCCTGGGAAGGCATTGCGATGAATATGAGGAGACTTGATTCAACACTCATTTTCATCTATGAAGCTCACTTGTCGCTTGCTTTTTGTAGGTCCTTGTAGTTCCAACTTCCTTTAAAGTCGTCAACTGTGGAGCCCCCCAGGTTGGCTTTAGCCAGCTGTGTCGTGAAGCCATGATACAGCTGGGAGCTAGCTAGAAGAAGCGGGCCCGCCCGGGTGCGAAATGTACCCGGACTTTGTATGCGGTGACTGTTCCAAGGACTGCATGTACCAAAACATGAGCGGCCAAGTGGGTATGACCTCGGGCTATGGTCATGGTCTCTCAAGCTGGCATTCTGAACGTCCTTGGCTTTGAAAGGAAAGGGGCTTCACGCAATTCATGGACTTCATGTGAAGGTCACATGAGACATGTTGAGCATTGCCAGTGGGGCCACGTCGCGGGCCAATGTACCTCATGTAGGCCGCTTTCGTTGTGGACCTCTCGGGACTCGCCGAGTCGAGCGAGTCACCCAGGCTGGTGAGACGGTCCCCAGCAAGGAGGTGGCCGTGGCTCGCCTCATTTGGCGGTGGGGAGGCGGTGGGGGGCCATGGGGCGACTTGGCACGGTACCAGCGCCCATTCACTGGTTGGGAGTGGGAGTTGGAGGTGTTTTTCCACCAAGCTTGTCGGCAAGGTGTGGGGTGGCCTTCCTATTCCGTGGGTTCAGAAAGCTGGACTCCCCAAGGAACCAGCTGATGGCTGTAGAGGAGACACATGCTTATGATCACATCTCGCTCGAGGAGCTGGACTGGTGTGGTGTCTTCGCACTCGCCCTGGTCCGTGTGGGGCGACACTTGGAGGTCAAGGCCATCAACAAGGCGGGTCCGCCGTGGTCGACGGAGATGGTCGACTCAGCGGGGGTCGGTCTGTAGAAGAGGAGGCGGTCGGATGCCGAATGGAGCCATGTGTCAGTCCTTGAGGTTTGTTCCATGGTTCTTATATTACACAATTCAGGGGTAGATGATACGGCTTGCCATTGGAGCGCAGTTCACCCACAGGCCCTCACACTCCCTCCAACAAACCTGCACGTGGATGGCGTGCGCCCCTCAAAAAGAACAGACCCCTAAACTCGTCTGGCCAGAACAAGAGGTGCTTTTCCACCCCACGGCCGGCGGTTGGAGATAGGCTTTCGGGCTCTTGATTTCTTTTACACCCCCAACTTGCTTGGCCGCTTGGAGCGGCCGCCGCTGTCGCCAGGTTTGGGGCGTGGCCAAGGACCTCTTCGAAGGGGAGACGGCCAGCTCCGAGCTGCAGCCCAACCCGACGGTGCCCTGGTGGGTGGTGGAAGAGGGGATGTGGGATCGAGTTGGATCAGGGTTCCCCTAAGGGGGCCCAGGCCCATGCTATGGTCTTAGCCTATATATATATCTCTCTGTGTGTGTGTACACACACACACACATATATATATATATTGAATGTGTTTTGGGAAGCTGGGTTGCTTGGTCTAAAGAGGTTCGACTTCTGCCCAAGACAAACCTGTGTTTTGGGAAGCTGGGTTGCTTGGTCTAAAGAGGTTCGACTTCTGCCCAAGACAAACCCGTGACTTCCCTGAAGCAACGCAAAAACCTACAACTAAAGACAATGCGGCATCGGAATTCCTTTGGTGTTCTAGTGTTTGGTGTGCCTAACAGATCTGATTTGCCTGCTCGTTTGTGGGGTAAACACGTTGAAGCCTGCCACGTTTCTGAGGTGTTGAAGGCTACGCGCCATGCCTCGCAGCTGGTGATCACTCACTATGCGACTCGGTGAGGGAACAAAAGCACAGGGGCCACAGGATTCATTTGGGTGTGAGAGGGGAAACAGCTTGTAACTTGCTTGGGAAGGCAATGGCGGGATAGAGCCGGCTCAGTAGACAACTCTACTACAATCAGAGGTTTGCAAGAAAAGACAATGAGTGACAACTCTACTACAATCAGAGGTTTGCAAAAAAAGGCAATGAGTGACAACTCTACTACAACTACAATCAGAGGTTTTCAAAAGAAGATGAGTCAGAATCAGAATCTGAGGGTTTCAATCAAATCCAATTCTTTTCTTTGCATGGCGCAGTTGGGGTGCAGCTCATGAAGATACCCCACGGCTTCGACTCGAGGCGACGATGAGCGGGCAGCGCTTGGCGCACTTCTTCCGGAACTCCGTGCAGAGCCGGAACTGGATGACGGCGCGGTGTGGGCGTGGTGGGGTCTTGGCTCGGAGAAAAGGTTGGGGAGGCCCAAAAACTAAGGCCAAAAGGGGCAGTGCGAAGGGTACATGTTGATGCTAACCTCACTGTCTTTTTGGACTCTGTCGATTCAACCACTTGGGACCGGTCCTCAGTCGGTGCACTTTCCAGGTGCGCGAGGCGCAAGAGCCGCGAAAGGTGGTGGAGATGGTGCTACGGGAGGCGGCCGTGGGCGGGCTGGGCGCTTTCGGTGGTGTCGTGGGTCCAGTGGTGATCACGAACGGTTGCTGAAGAGCCTGCTGGGAAGTCGTGATCGTGCAATGATGTGCAATGAATCACAGGCTCTTCATCCCAACTCGTGGAACACCATGTTTTTGCATCTCATCTCATCCAAATCCTTTTGATGCGTCCGGAGACCTCCGTCCGCTCGGCGTCCACCTGGTAGCTACAGATCATCGTCCACCCCCTCCTCTCTCAAACGGTGGAAGAGCGGAGGGGAGCCTAGATCTAGACTCTAGACCTCCAAAATCCACGTTTCCGGCTCAATGTCACCAGCTTCGAGGTGTGTGTCGTCCGGAACACCAGGTCGTTTGATCACAAAACCAGGTCAGCACATGTCAGCACTTGACTTCACCCCTCAGAGCCTAGGGCCTAGAATCCACCAGTGGCATCCAGTGGCGGGAACCGCAATGTATATATTAGATAAATAAAGCATAAAACATAATATATATTTTTTTGGGGGGGTATATGGGGCATTTTTGGAGTAGGTTCCTTCATTCCTTGGTGCCGGAAAAGCTGGTTGAGAAGAGCATAGAACGGCTGCAGACCTTGCACTCCAATAGCACACAATAGCACAGACCAAGTTCTTCTATCTATCCAAGAGAAGAGCTGGAGTACTGTAGTCATTTTAAGCTTCTACTCTCCCTCATGGAGCCATGGAAGAGGCACAGTTTGGCCCCCTATATGTTGGGCCAGTCTCGTTTCCACTCAAAGTCCGTCAATCATTAACACATTTTTCTATAGAACTTGGCCAGTCCCGTCATCACCAATTACGAACCATCATCATCATCATCATCATCATCATCACGAAAGCTAGCATGCTAGCTGAGTTCTTCTTTGCTTTAGCAATGTTGTGGTGGGAGGGGCTGCGTGCCTTAAAGATTGATATATCAAGCTAACCCCCCCCCCCCCGCGGTTCAACTCCCAGCTGCGCCGCTTCCCTTATTGGTGCATACCACCATTCCACTGAATGAATTGCGTGATAGCTCTGCTGGTGTTCAGACAGCGGCAAGGTGTGCATATGTTTGTGCAATTGTTTGCATCTACAATCCTTGGTCAAGGCATGTCCTACGGTGAGCACGCTCCATTTCACCTCCATGCTACGTCGTTCCTTCAGCCTCCGTCCAGGGTTGGCGTCGTTTTGCTGGTTCGAGTGGCTCATTCAATGCAGAAGTTAACAAACTGATAGGTATAATGATAATGAGTTGCGTGTATATTTGAGATCATTTGAGGTAGTTCATGCTTTGCTACTTGTTGCGGCTTGGTGCTGCTGCTGCTGTTGCTGACGACGCCGCTGCTGCTGCTGCTTGCTGCTTGCTGCTTGCTGCCGGTGGTGCTGCTGCTGCTGCTGCTGCGGCTTGGTGCTGCGCTGCTGCTGCGTGGTGCTGCTGGCTGGCTGCTTGGCGGTTGCTTCTGGCTGCTGGCTGCAGGCGGCTGCTTCTGCTGCTGCTGCTGCTGACTGCTGCTTGCTGCATAGGACTTGTACTTCACCCTTACAAGTTGTTTACCCTATTTCATAAGCGGGTGGTAAATTTACTCCCAAGGCTTGCTATAACCATACACAGGCTATTTCCTCAAGACACTCTATGCCTGATACTTTTTACATCCTTTTTACCAGTGCTTATCCTACACTACGGACGCCCTAGTGTATGCACAGTCCTTGTGATGCTTACCCCTCGTTCCGGCTCAAGGCATACATAAGCGGGGGGTAAATTTACCCCCCAGATTTGCCATAACCATAAGCCGGCTATTTCCTCAAGACACTCTGCTCCTTATACCTTTTACCAGTGCTTATGACGCCCTAGTGTTTGCACAGTCCTTGTGATGCCAGAAATGCTTACTCCTCTTGCCGGCACAAGGCATACATAAGCGGGTGGTAAATTTACCCCCCAGATTTGCGATAACCATAAGCTGGCTATTTCCTCAAGACACTCTATTCCATATACCTTTTACCTGTGCTTCTCCTACACTACGGACGCCCTAGTGTATGTACAGTCCGTATGATGTCAGAAATGCTTACCCCTCAAGGCATACAAAAGCGGAGGGTAAATTTACCCCCCAGATTTGCCGATCACGCATCTTCGTGCCTGCCAACGAGTGCACCCGGGTTGTTCCAATGTACCCTTCCCAGTCCCAGTCAGCGATGTCACATTTACATTCTTTAGCGCAAAGTATGTACATAGCAACCTTCCTCCCAGAACATGTACTCACTACATGCTTTGCCGACTATGTGACTAGTACATCCGGTGCGATTCGGCTAGCTTTCGACCTCCTCCCCCTGGCCTCAAGTCATCATCATCATCATCACCCACTCTTGGATCCGGTGACAAGGTCCGTGCCTTTGACACGCAGCTGGCGAAGCTGCTGGGGGACCCTCGCAAGCCCAAGACAGGTGCGCCCGTGAGTGTTTGGCCGGGCTGGGCTCAGAACCAGGTTAGCAACTATTCTCTTTATCAGGGCCCACCAGACACTCGGTGTCCAAGTAGTCACAACATGTCATAACTTGTTTTTCTCCTGGTTTTAGTGTGCTATGTTGACTTGGGGAGCAAGATGGAACACGAAGAATGACGAGTATATATCCATGTATCTATCTATTGTTTCTAGCTATATGTGTATATATATATACATATTATGTAATTATATATATTTATAAATATATTTGGGTTGAAGTTACTTGCCTACTTGCCTATGCTTGTCTGGTGCCAGATAGTGATGGCTCGACCCGGCTTTGGGCTTGCTGCCAGGCGTTGACCGGAGGAACACCAAGCGCTTCAAGACCCTTGCCTAGATGTGGGGTGAGCAAATCAGGAAATCAGGACCTGCCACAAGACTTGCAGTACGGTGTCAGGAGAGCAAGCTTGAAGTTATTCACAACTCTCGTGTCTCCGAAGTCCCCAAGAAAGAATCAGATGAACCAGGAGACCGGGAGGCTTTTGGAACGCCATATGAGTCGGTGCCAGCCATATGAGTCGGTGCCAGCCATAAGGAACTCGATGGAGTTGGAAGTGGAGCGCTTGTGGGCGAAGAAGCTGCAGGTGTGCCAGGGTACTGGAGAACCGGTTGTTTGTGGGATGTTGGTTGCATGTTGAATCTCCAACTGCCATCAAACCAGAAGAATTGCACTCACAGATTTGATCCCAGGATGCTGAGAGGAACCCCCCACCATCACCATTATTACAAGTCACGAGTTCTTTGCATGCACAGACCACCCCTCCTCCATTTCGAGAAACACAGCATGACACCTGTAATTTCATTATGATGTTCTTGTTTTTTTCAGTTTTCCTCATTCCGGGGTTACTCCTGGACTATATTGGTAGAACCCACATTGCCTTCGGAGTTAACCACCTTTGCCTCCCTGAAATGATGATGCGACTGTCCCCTAACCACTTCTCGACGATGAAGGTTGCACCAGCAGTTCATAAGGCATGTGCATTGCCAACGCAGCGGCGCCTGGAGGCCGAAGCAAATCTGGTCATTTTCCGCAGCTGCTAGCCTCAAACACCCATTAATACCGTCGATCTCTGGGCTGTGTGGCCCGCTCCCGAACAATGACTCAGCTTGTGGGTGAGTTGACTCCAATGAGAAGTCGCTTGGGCTTGAAAGAATGATTCGGGACTTGCGGGACCTGTCTCTTTGACCGCCGAAAGCCAAGTTTGCACTGCGCGAGGGTGAGCGCGCAGCTACGCCCGAACCCCCTAAATGGATGGTCTTGTAAGGGTCACAACCATCCAGCACAAGGGATCACCATCCGTACGCGCCCTATGGTCAAGGGACTGTGTTGGCGCGAGAACAGCCCGCAAATGTGTGTTCCAGTATAAGGGAGTTCCGCCAGTAGAGCTATGATTCTTCAACCTACGCCCACCTGGGAAGACCAGTGAGCTTGCCGCTGCGGCGTTCAAAGCCTCAGTGCCATCGAGGTAGTTCCACTGAGAAGCCGAAGCGCCGCTGCAGGTTCCCCCTCTACGCGCAGGCAGGTCCAAAAAACCTCAGAGGGTGCCCAGTGCCGAGGATCAACATCGGATGACATCATTGAAACCCAGGTATATAATGTAGACTCTTGATGAAGAACCCTCCATATGAAGAGAATTTTTCAATTCAAATAGGGGGGTGGTATTGATCAAGAGTCTACATTAAGGGGCTGGTAGCTGCCGGTGGCCGAATGCACACAAAAAAATGATGCCCCAGACTGAAGTCGGGTTTTGCATGCCTCTTCCGGTGGATTTGGGGTGCCCGCATGGCAAAGAACGACCTAACTAGATCATACCCGCAACAAGTGGAGATTCATTATATTGTTATATATATATATATCTATGTTGTGTGTGTGTGTTGGAAAGGTCAGATGTTTTTCCGTGAGAGGTTGGTGAGTGGGAGACACACAAAACACTTTTGCAACCGAAAGAAGGGGACACGCGTTTTGTGACTGGGCGTGGTGTGTGTGAGACATGTGATCATGAACGGCCGACGGAACCCCGGACACGCCAGGCCCTCCTCCTCCTCCTCCTCCTCATCATCATCATCATCATCACCGCTCCCTCCAAATCAAATGTCCTTACTTGTACTCACCTTTACTCCATTTTTCCAGTTCTCATCTCTTTGGTCAATTGATGGTTGCAGTCGATTAGGACCCCAAGACACATCAATTTGGAGGTCTTGCTCGGCATGGTGCTGGGCATTTTATTGGGCTACTTTCTGCCAAATGTCGCCACGAATCCCTGGATTGAGGCGTGGCCTGTGGGGCCCGGCTTGGCCGGGCTGGGACGGCTTGCAACTGCAGATGCTGGAGACATGTTCTCTTGGGCACAAGCTGCTATGAGTAAGTCTTTGGGTTCTTTTGGGGCAGCGATAATTTTAAGTTTGAAGCCGGATTCCTTTGTTGGACACCGCTCCACATTGTTTCGCACCTCCTGCATTGGACCAGAGTGTTGCAGAGGGAGTGACCCTCCACCAAGTGCACGTGCCAACCGCCCCTGCACAAACGCCTTGGAACAGTAGCTGGAGCTTTCAGGCCATGGGCACGCTCTTCGTGAAGCTGGTGTGCCTGGGGCCTTATATACACACTATATATATATATGTGGAGTCGCTGAGTCGCCCATCATATAAAGCAAACCAGTAAGTAAACAAATGAACAACATCACATATGTATATATATATATATATTCAATTGTTTAGTATGTATGCGCATGCATGCGCTCCGTTTCGTCTTGTGGTTGGCCTGGAACTCACCATCGTCCGGGCCCCACGACTGGGAAGCGAGACGTAGAATGTAGAACTCAGAGACGTAGATGCCACCGAAACAAGCTAAACGACCTAAACACACAAATCAGCACAAAACCACACCAATCAGAGAGTTGAACCAGACCACATCAAGGGTTCAAAATGTTCAAACCTGCACGGTATATGTGTCGTTGACGGTGTTTCTCAGGAAGATGATCATTGCGCCCATTATTTTCTGCACCGTGGTCTCGGGCATTGCCCACGTCTCTGATGCGGCCAAAGTCGGTCGAGTGGCCTTGAAGGCGGGTCTACGTGCGGGAGACGTGCTCGTGGACTGACTGGCACGGTGGCTACGGTTCGGGTGGCGAAACTCTTTCTCATTACTGGCAGAGAACCACACAGGAGCTTGATGGTCATTTGTGTTTTGACCTTCTTGTTCTATGGATGCAATTTGTTGGGCATATGCTGGTGTCTGATTGTCAAACATAGGTGCACATTGCACATGCAAGACAAGCGGTGTTGCTCACCATGAAAGAGAACGGACATGGAAGAGCACCGATGGTCACAGGTGATACTCCGTCGTGGTTGAAGAAGCAAAATTTCCCGGCCAAGCAGGCATGCACGAATCAAGAAGCGAACCTGAAGCCAAAACAAAACATGTCGTTACCTTGTCTTCTAGTGAGTGGGTCTGTTTGGGCTTGTGGGTCCTGATCAAAATTGCGTCCCTTAGGTTGCGACACATGACGTCTTTCTTTTCCCACCACGCGGCCATGAGCCCCCCGAGCACCACGAAAAGCTGAGTCAAGCGCCCATTGGTGAGAAGTCACGGTCTTGGCAACATGTGTAACAACGAGCGCGGGAGGTGAGTGGCGGTGGGACCACTGTGTGGTCTTCGCGTCTTTGTAAAGAATCCACGTTTCTTTTTTTCCCGGATCGTTAGGAAGGCAGGTGTTCGGATGCGACGCTGCAGGCCATCCTCTACTTCGAGGTGATCTCCACCCTTGCACCTTGGTTCCAGGTCGGTTTTCCAAATGACGTTGCTACAAGCTTGATGTGTCCTTCTGCGCCGCCCTCCGCATCCCATACCAATAGAGGGGGGTGTAAGAAACGGAGGCCGGAGGCCGGGGATGAATTGAAATACATGGCCGAAACCCCAATTGAACCTCCCTACGAGGTTTGGCCGTTCGTGTCCTTTGCGCCTCTACACTCTTCACGTCTGGCCATGTCTGGCCATGTCGCTGACCGAGCTGAGGCTTTGTTGATTGGTCTCTTGGTGGCCGAAGTCATTCAGCCGGGCCGCGGGATGAAAGCCGTGCCTCGACCGGGTGGAGCGGGCGGACGTGTGGAGGCGGTGTGGGAGCGGTGTGGGAGTCAGCGAGCGCCAGACCAACGCGTTTCAACATGGTTGGTGAGGTCATGCCTGGCTTGACCAGGTGGTGAGAACTGGTAGGGAACCTGGACATGTGTTCAATGGGGCTCCATTTTGCTTTTTGCGAGGGTGGATCGGGGGAGTTTCGTGTGGTCATGATCCAAGTGCGGTGGGTTTGAGGAGTATTCGCCTTCAAAATCTTCCAGTGTGAGTTGAAACTCAACTTTGGGGTGATTTCTTATACAATCTTACATATACAGTCATTAGTTTCAGAGAAATGAGGAATGTCATGTTTTTGAGGATGACAGACGCGAGCTGACTATACTGCAACATACTGCAACTATATAGTGCCCTTGGGGCAAGATCCCCATCACATACAGCGAAAACAATCGAACATATATACTCCAGAACTACTGTAGCAAAAAGCGCCTTGTCGTGTAAACAAATTCGGTCGGCATATGGGATTCATTATGACTTCTCGGCATGAACGCGTGCTTCACTCAGGCACCCGATGCAGCAGCCGTCGAAAAGTATCAGAGCCTCTCGCTGCACTAGGAGTCACTCTGCACCTGCCCTAAGTGGGTCATTGGCCTGTGAGCCTTTTGCACTGGCAACGGCTGAGGAAACAAGCAGAACATCACACCACGTTGGACTTTGTCATGGGTATTGCTCCTCGGCACGTGCGTTTGTCCCACAATGTCACCTCCACGAGGCAGCGAGAGACCCTAGCCAAGCCAGCTATGGAAGTGACGAGGCCTCCTCGTCTCATCTCAACCTCAGGACATGGATCCATGAATCTCCAGCTCAGGAAGTCTTCAAAAGCTGACAAAAAGGTGATACGGTCGCTTCAAAAGTTCATTCTGACCTGCGCGCCACAACGACTTGCACCACGACGATTCGAGGTCCCTAAGACCGTGGTCAGCGCCTTCGTGGACGGTGAAATCCTTCAGGCCGGGCGGGTCGGGAGCCCTTGAAACGCTGGCGAGCTGCGCCCATTCCATGATTTGGAAGACTGATCCTGCGCCAGAACCATCGATGTTGCTGATGTTCAAGGCCTCAGCTTTTCGGGACCTGTGAGGGTGTGTCCTCCTACAAAGTCACACCCTCCACAGAGATTTGGAACGCCCTTTCCGCCTTTTCCAGTGATGGTATGTCAACTCTATCTGGTCAAGATGTAAAGCCACTGATTGACCTCCAGGTGCTCTTCTTCTCGGTGATCTTCGGATTTGCCTTGATCGGAGCTGAGAAGGTCCTTTGGCCTTGACTTGTTTTTGATTGTTTTTGTCTTGAGGGATATCACAAAGTAGTAGTAGCAGAAGATGGAGACAGGTTTCCTGAAGTGATGCTCTTCCCTTCTCCCGGCAAGACACGAACACCAGAGACCAGAGATTGCAACTGATGGGAAATGACTTGAAGGACCATTTTCCACGTCAGTGTGGGTCAAAATCGGTCCACTCACCATCATCACGGTGGTTTCGTTCTCTTTCACGGACATCAAAACGGGAACCGCGCACCTTTTTTGAGTGGTTAGTATACCCTCAGGCCCCGAAGAAGTGGTTAGTATACCCAGGCGTCACTGATGACCAGCGTCACTCCGAGTGGAGTCGTCGCGAAGTCGGTCGCGAGGAGTCACCGTTGACCAACCTCGTCTTGCTCGGTCGGTCGGAAGGGTGATGGAAGAGGTGGCCACGGGGTCTCAAGCCCGTCACAGAATCAGCAGTTGAAGTTGGTCATGGAGGGGGGTTTCTGTAACAGCCGACACGCATTCGGCCTTCAAATCCTTTCGCCGTTGAGGGGAGTTGACGCGTCGAATCTGTGGACACCCAGGTAGACATCCTGCACAACTTGATTGATCAAGTGGCCCATGGCATGTTCGCGGTCGTGAAGATCATCATGAAGTGCCATGGTTTGGGCTGGTGCAGTTTGGTCGCCTCATTTCTGTGGAACCAGGCGGTCATCGGTTCCATCCCTATCAACATAGCTTGGGGGTCTACCAATCAATTCATCAGCAGCCAAAGCTTTGGCAGGTGAGCACGTTGGCCAAGCGGCGGCTGTAGTTCAGCCTTCCACTCGGCCTGCCGATCTGCCAAGGTTTGCTCCGTTTGGCGCGTTTGGTGCGATGGCACACACTGTGGGGAAGTATGGCATCAAGACGTTGGGGCCCGGGACTTGTTGTTTTTGGGCTGCGAAGCATCAAAAAGCTTGCGCTTGCTTATGTGTCTTGCTGCGCTACAGTCCTTTTTGCATCAACTCTTGATGGGGGGGACAGGGGCATGGGCAGATTGATATGCAACTCGGACAGGCTTGAAACATAGAAACGGCTTTCACGGCCGCACACCCCCATGCTGAAGGAGCCTGCTTGGGCTGGTCGCCACCAACTACCTGACCTCGCTCTTCTTCGTCATTTGCGTGTTGGGCGTGGTATGCCTCATTGCGAGATTCAACATCTTCCGATTTCTCTACTACCTCAAGCATGAGCTCCATGGATTGTGGTGGGTGGGTGGAGCCAAAGCCTGTTCCGTATCAGGCTGGGTGCATGGTCCGTAAGCACTGGAACTCACATGGAAGTGGACCCCTGCTTATAGAGGAAGCTGGTCCTCCACGGGGCCATGGTCCTCCACCTTCCGTGCTAGCTCGGAGTTAACGAATGACCTTCTCAAGAAGTGTCCCGACAAAGGGTGGATCTACAATCACAGAGTTTTACACATGTGAGCAGTTGCGACAGGTCTCTTTACTTTACACGCATGCTAAGAACAGCCATATAATAACTTACATTTCTATAGTCGAGGGCCTTTTCAAGCGAATGCGGGGGCTGCTGCAACTTAGCATGTGAGTTCTTCCACTTCGCGCCGCATAAAGTGATTTTGTCCAGTTTGGACCCAAAACTGTGGAGTGGAATGGAAGATTGGCTGGCTACTGCGCGGCTACCCGGCTACCTCGGGACACGTTTCTTTCCTTTCATTTCAAGGACGACCACCGAGTGAAGCAGCCCCCGATGAGGTTGCTCTTAGTGCTGGCCACCTCATCTTCCGAGAGCGCCCTGCCGTCCTTGATGCAGAAATTGCAGGCGCCCTGCGGCGCCCTGTTCGGTGATGACGGACAGGGGGGAGACGCCGTTGGCACACGATGTGACAGGATGGTTGACATTGTTTCCGCTTGTGTAGAAACCAATGACCTGGACATACTAGAGCTTTGGCAGCACATAAGCTCGTGAAGGCCTTTTGTACCCTGCAGTGCCACACTTGGTTGGAGTCCAAAGCTGTGCTCAAGAGGGCCAGTGCCACAGGTTTCAAGCCATTTCAAGCCACATCTCCCACGACAGCGACGGTCCTTTTGTTCTTGCCTGACCTGAACTGAGTGGATATGTGTGCAGCAATCGTCAAACTTTAATCTGACAGTTGCAGACACATTGAAATATATAGTTCACCAAACTCCCAAGCGCAATCGACTGACCCGTTGAACTCTTCAACCCCAGTGGCCCAGTGTGGACCAGGCTGCAGGGCTCTCAAAGCCTGTGGTTGGCCTGGTGGTTCCTCTGGGCTATTCCTTCAACCTGGATGGCACGACTCTCGGACGATTTGGCCAGGCTTCTGTCCAGTGGCCCCAGACAGTCCGCGTGAAAAACCATGCTGCGAAGAGGAGACCATCATGATCATCATGTGGGCTCTTGATGGACCTTCGAACAACCCAAGGGTCGACGTGTTTCGTTTTGACCTCCGTTGGTTCCTCCTACTTTCGGGACTTGGAAGACTTGGGCTGAGCGAGGAACATCTACATGACCCTGACCACATTGTTCATCAGCCAAGTCATGGGAGTCGACCTGACCTGGGGGGACAAGATCAAGGCGCCGCCTTCGCGGGCGCCGCGGGGACGAGCATGCGGCATGGGCGCGCGGATGATGCGTTTGTGCATCCACTGGCCAAGTATTTGTTTCGGAGCGTCCTGGTTTTGGTCTTCCGGCCTGACGCAGGAAGTTCAAAAGGCAGAGGGCGTTCGAGCAGGACGTGTTTCTGAAACCTGCTCACGCTCCTCACATAGATTCAGGTACATATGCTAGGTTCTGTCCTTCAGGCTGGTCAAGTTGGTTTCCAGCCCAAGGCCATGGAAGCATAGGTGTGGCATCTCTCAATCAACGTTAAATTTCAACCCTTCGGTAGTGATCAGGCCCAACTGAGAAGGATCATTCATGAAGAGCAAAAGGCTAAGGCATACTAAGGCCAAATATGATCAAATATGATCAAATGTGAACAACACTGGGCGATCAGGAAAGAAAGGGAGTGATAAAAAACATCACCAATTAGATTTATACAGTACATGTATATATATATATATACATATGCACTATGATACAATGTGAGCATCAGCAAGCAGTGAACACATTGATATGCACACACACACATGGACATACTGTATATGCACATTTGCATCACAAGGCTGCCATTTCTGTCAAGATTTGTTAGTTAGCAGTCTTTCCTCCCAGCTCACCCCCAAAACGTCCCCTTTCGGATCAGGTCCTGGCGGTGGCGATGCTCACTTCCAAGGGCGCCGCTGGCGTCAGCGGCGCCGGGTTCATCACCTTGGCCGCCACGCTGTCGTCGATTCACCCGGAGACCACGTCGCGTCAGCAGCATCGTTTTGCTCGGAAGAGCTTGGATCCAAGGCTCCAAGGTCCTTGTTTTGTAGCCACCAGTCCTCAAGCAAGTTGAAAAGTCCCAACTCCGACACCTTTGCTCCAAGCTGTGAAGCCTTGTTTTTAGTCTTCAGGAGCTAGTACCTGGCATGGCCATCGTGCTTGGCATTGACACTTGGAGGGATGTTTCCGGCCCTGGTCGAATCAAGCCAAGTTGAGGTGCTTGGGATGAAAACACCTGAGATGGATGATAGTCTTGCACTGTTTGAGATGAGTGATTTGCTTTAAGTAGACGGACGTTGTTGGACGAAGGACAATGCAAACCAGCTCAGAGCTCAGGTTGGTTCTTAGGTCTTCCATGACTTCTTCCATCAGTGAGTGAAACGAAGTCAAATGAGCAACCTCCAAAACGTGCAATTACTAACTTAGCAAAGAGCGGTCATGAATTTCAGAAATTGGGCCAAAACCTGCAAAAGCGGTAGGCACCCCCTCAAAAATTCAAAAGCGTATCCATGTTGCCGCAGTTTTTTGATATGTTCTGTTCAGCGATATATGTTGAAATTATATATAGTTGAAACTGTTGCTAGAATCTAGAACCTGCAAACGCGATATGCCCCCCTCAAAAACAATAACCTTGCTGAATCATGTCCCCTACTTGGCGGGATGTTTTGGCAGACGGTCAAATAAGCCAGCAGAAGTAGATTTCGACTCTTGCAATAGGTTTGCTCAACTGGAAAGCCTTGACGAGAAATTTCCCAGCTCCAGTGCATAATCTGCTCTTCAGATCTGCGACTAAAGGAAGGTGTTTTTTGGGTTATGCGCTGTTAGTTTTGGAACAAGGAGCCTGCCCTTGACCTGTCGTGGTGATGGCTCTCGGATCCCAATTGGAGCCTCTCCCCATCTGGAGCGAAGCTATTCCCACCGTTCCCCAGCTTCAACGTCGCCCTTCTGACCGCAACCTTGATCACGAAAGCAACGAGGATAAATTCATGTCCGAGTGCCGCTCCTTGACCAACATCTGTGGCAACGCGGTGGCTGCAGTGGTGATCGCAGCGATGGAGGGCGAGCTGAACCGGGAGAAGTTTCACAATGCTCTTCACGGGAAGGTGGTGGAGAGCAGCTCGGTCTAGAAGATCGCCATTGACAGTGGTTGCTTTTCTTCGACTGTGTAAGTGGGCCACGTTTGTCGCTGTATCCTGGGTCATGTCCAACAACTGTGGGTCAAGATGTGTCACGGATTGTGGGTGGACCAGCGGTGAACTGGTACTACCTCCCCCCCCAAAAAGACAACTCACCAACGAACGGAGACCAACAGACCGACACTCGTTGACGCCCCGAACGGCCAACCAGGTGACGAGGAGGATCCCGTGCCGCTCTCGGACGAATCCGGGAGTAGCTGGGCGAGAAGCAGGGAGGGTGGGAAAAGCTGCAGCTATGGCTAAAACATAAAGAAGTTGGAGAATACGTGGTTCAATTAGAGGCCATCATTCTCAAATCCCCCTGAGGTTTAGCTGGAGGGATTCCAGAATCAAGTGAATCTCAGACTTAAGGAACGACCTTGCAGTAGGTCACATCTCCGGGAGCCGGGCTCTTCCGCACTCCAGGTCTCATGGTAGGTTTGTTGAAGCTTTGACCCAAATGGTCCAAGACCATATTGGGGTGATTTGGGGTGCTTCTCCGGTCAGCTCATGACTGAGAGTGCAGCAGGGTACCCAGCCTCAGAATCATTAGATTTTGAGAAGACCTTTCGGAGGGAGCGCCACTCACAGGCAGTTCTGAATTCTGTGCCTCCAAATGACCACGAACGCAAGTTCTGTGGCGAACGCGGACAAATGGCCTTTTCCCTTTGAACATGTCATTGGTGAATGCTGTGCCCAAGCGTTTTCGCGACTTGAATGCCACCCGAGGTAGCACGGACCACTCAGAGTAAGCACCTCGAGCGAGATGAGACGAATGGCGCTCGACTCTGACCGCATTTTGGGGTTCGTGTGGGGCGGGCGCCTATGAGGAGGGAGTTCAAGCTCCACCAGTCATGCATGCCGACAGCACTTGCTGATAGCACTTGCTGCGCCTGCTGGCTTTTTGTTGCACAGCATAGGGGCCGCATTACTTGGCTAGCTTTTATTCTCAAAAAGGGTCCAGTCAGACACGTCAGTGGGGCCAATGAGCAAAGCCGATTGATTGCAATTGTGATGCTCATTGGCATGCCCATGGCACTGTTTCCATGTGATGTGATCGAGTCACGCGGCGTTTCATGTCACAACGGGAACCTTTTGGAGCCATCGCATGGCACCCGTTGGCGGACGTTTGACATACGGGTCCCTGTTAAGTCGTGCGCCTGCGAATTTAAAGCTTGGCCACGTTCATTTTCACCCCGAGCATGGCGCGGTCGGCGTGTCCATTCATTGCAACCTCCTTTGGCTTCAGTGCCGTTGCATTAGCAAACCTGACGTATAAAAATACAGTATATATACATCTATATGTGTGAATCAATCCAGTTGAGCACCAAAGACCTTCGAATGGTTGTTCGATCGATGTACGTACCAACGCAAAACGCGTTGGCTCAAGGCCGACAGGGACAGGACAAGCACCGAGGAAAACGGTGCGACGGCTGGGTGGAGGGCCACCTTTTAGGTTTAGGTAGGGATAGGTCCCCTTAGGTAAGATAGATTTGGTTGACGGGCGAGGAAGCTACCTTTGTGGCTGATAGCCACATTGGTAGCGGAGCCCGGAGGCTCAGTGAGGTCACTGGAAAGCCATGGGTTCCGAGGCGGAGAAGGCCAATGCGATCTGGACGCTCCTACCGAGTTTTGATCCGGGCCAAGATGATGTGAAGGAGTACATAGCGAAAGTCAAGTTTTTGGATGGTATTTGCCCAAAAAAGGATCGAGGAATGCTTGCTCCAAGGCTGGCCATGTTGTGCAAAGGTACTGCCTGGCATCAAGTTCGGTCCATCGAGCCCGACAAGCTGACGAATCCGGATCATGGAGTGAAAACCCTCCTTGAAGCTTTGTCGGCATGGGAGGACAGCGCTGAGTTGAAGACATTTGAGCTGTTCGAAAAGGCAATTTACAAGACCATCCAGAAGGCCGACGAGAGTGCTCAGTCTTTTGTCAATCGACTGGACGTGGCGTTCGGAGAAGTTGGACATGAGACAACACTGAAGTCGGTGATGGCATTCGTATTGTTGAAGCAGAGCAATTTGACCACCGAGGACAAGAAGAAGATTTTGACAATGACAGGTGGCAAGATTGAGAAGAAGGCCATTGAAGGAGCTATGAGAAGCTTGTCGACCAACGTCCTGACAAGCAGTGGCTCCGAGAAAAAGAAAGTATACCCCACCAATCTGGTTGAGGATGCACCGGACTCCGCAGCAGAGCAGTCGGATCAGTATTTTGATCAAATTGTTTTTGCATCGCAAGTTGAGGAGGAAGACATTTCCTCCGAGTTCTTGGACCAGTTGGCGACTTCCGGAGACGCTGATGCATTGACAGTGCAGGGATTCGAGCGTGAGTTGACAGATCTTTTTCAGGAAATTCCTGACCTTCATTCAGCACTAGTGAGCTACCAGGAGGCCAGAGGCAGGATTGTTGAGCGAAAGCGGAACAGAGGATTCTGGCCTTTGAAGGGAGGCTCAACTGGAAAAGGCAAGGGATTTGGAAACAAAGGCTTTAGAAAGGGCCAACCGAAGGAAAAAGATGAATTGTTAGCACGCATAGCAAGGACACACTGCAAGCGATGCGGGGAGCTCGGCCACTGGAAGGCTGAATGTCCATTGAAGATGACCAAGGAGTCGCAAGCGAACGTGGCTTCAGCGTCCCATGAGGCCGAAGAGAATGACTTCTTCGAGCAGGTGTTGATTGAAGAGATCAACTCAGATTTTGAGGTCGGGTCCGAAACGGAAAACCATGATCAAACGGCATTTTGCCAGGCAAAGCAGTTCGAAGTAGGACAAACCAAAAGCCAGAGCCAAAGCCTATTCGAGCCAGAAGCACAAGCTAATTTTTCCGAAGCCGTATTCGAAAGAGCCAAGATATTCTTTTCGAAACGAAACCAAAACTCGAGCGCACCCATCAGGAAAAGCCAAAAGCAGCCGCTGGATCATCCAACAGCGGTGCCAGAACATGGACTCACCAGTAAGGCTGGCCAGTCCGAAGGGTTCAGGACGAACGGCGTGGCAATCATTGACACCGGAGCCAGCCGGAGCGTCATCGGAGAAGAAAATCTCCAGACGTTTCTAGACCTGCTACCAGAGTCCGTCCGATCTCGAGTGAAAGAACGAGCCAGCCGTGTAGCATTTCGATTCGGAAACAACCAAGTGGAGCATAGTTATAAGCAGATACATGTTCCAATAGAGCAGGATAAAGTAAGAATATGGCTAATTGTTGAGGTCGTGCCAAAAGCTACCCCCTTTCTCCTGTCAATCCAAACAATGAAGAGGCTAGGAATGATTCTTGACTTGCAGAAGGGTTCGTGCTTTTTGAAAGTGTTGAATAAATCAGTGACTTTGCATGAGGGTAAAACCGGGCTTTTGATGATTTGCATTCAGGATTTGTGCAGGAACTCCACCGAATGCCAAAGCATTTTCGGAGCAAGCAGTCGCGACAAGCCAGATTCGCTTTTCGTTGAAAGCTATGCCAACTCGGGGAGAGATGCTCCAAATGGTAAAAGGGATTGCCGAACATGTCGTTCAGAGTCTGCAGACCTGCTGATGATTCTGTTGAACCAAGTGGCAACCCAAGTCTCCACACAGGAGGTGCCGACCGAACAGGTGACGATGATGAGCGAACTCCTCAGCGAGGTCCAATCCCAGAAGGAGAAGATCGAAGAGATCGCATTGATCATGAGGCAGGGCACGTCGCCCAGTCGCAGGGAAGAGCCATTCTCAGTCCTGACGGAGAGCGATCAAGAAGTCTGGGAGCAGGAGGCGAGGGTGTTTCAAGCCCAAACACCACCTCGACATCAGCCAGCTCAGCAAAAGATGACAATGAATCCATCCACTCCGCCAAGAACAAAGTCTGTGGCAGCCGGAAAGGGAAGCTTCCAAGTCCAGATGTCACCAAATCAAGCCGTTTCAAGCCTGGTTGGGATGGCAGCCCCTGGAAGCCCATTGCCGATGAGCCCATCACAAGACCCGAGAAGCCAGCCATCAACATCAAATCACTGCAATGGATCGTTGGGGCCAAAAGATGATTACCTGGGGAAAGAAAAATCCCGGAAAGACCTATGCCACGGTCTACGAAGCCGATCGTCAATACGTGAGCTGGTGCCTGAGCAGGATCAATTCGTTGGAAGCTCCGACAGCGATTTTGCCCGCTACTGCCAAACCCGTCAGCAGATGGAGGAGCAGTTGCACCAGAGCCAACTGATGTGAAGTGGGAAACATTGATCCTTGATGCATCAATAGCCGTAGAAAACATCCAAGAAGCCAAACTGCTGAAAGCATCGGATTTCGGGAAAATCCAGTCATTTGGAAAGCAAGTTGATCTTTTAGAAGTATATGCGCAGCCAAATAGTAGACTAGCGGAAGAAGTAGGAAGACATGGTGGAATAGCAGCTCGATTTACAAGAGACCATGGGGATTTGTCTACTTTTGAAGGCCAGGTGCAGTTGCTTCGAATGATCTGCCGGCTGCGTCCAAAACACATCTGGGTAGCACCGGAGTGTTTCCCCTGGTGTGCATGGAACCGATTCAACGCAAAACAGAGCAGTCGTTTGTATGAGCGCATCCAAAGAGATAAGAACCTGTCTAAGGAACATCTAGTCCTATGCGCCCTGATATGCAAGATTCAAGTCCAAAACGGGAGACACTTCACCATGGAGAACCCCGGAACGTCAGACATGTGGAAACAAGAAGAATTAGATGTAGTAATGAGACTCACTAAAACAGTTCACTTGGATCAGTGCAGGTTTGGATTAGTTCATCCTGAAGACGATAGGCCTTTGAAAAAGCATACTCGGTTGCAAACAACATCAAATCAGATTGTTCGAGATTTAGATGGTCGAAGATGTCAACATAATCACGAGCATTCACAAATTGCCGGGTCATGCAAGTTTCAAGGCCAACGAATGGCATTGTCTCGATTTGCCGCATTCTATCCCAGAGTGTTCGCAAGGGCAGCAGCGAAGAGCATTTTGCAGGAAAAGAAACAACCAGAAGCAATAGCCTTTGTAGAAGAAACAATCGAAGAAACATGTCCCGTTGATGAAGATCATCCTGCGAAACGCGCACGTTTTGAGCCACCACGAGAGCCAAAACGAAAAGCCGAACCTGAGGAAACAGTGAAGACTCCTCTTCACGGACAACCTTGGGATGAAACTTTTCAATGGCTGCAGTCTAATTTGCCGAAATCAGGATCAGTCGATGTCTCTCCAAGCAGTTGGCCAGGAAGTTTTCTGGTTGAACATTGTGGATTTCACGTCAAACAGATACTAGCAGGAAAAGGCATGGACAAGTATCTAGTAGGACAATCCACGAATCCAATACGGAAAACCATTTGTCAGTGTAGGAGGACAAAAGGAATTTTTGACTTGGGAGAAGAACAATGGACAAAACTGACATTAAGGCAGCAGAGGAGGAATGCAATGCCTAGTCATATCATGGTCTGTTTGTTTGGAAGCCCTGTTGAGTCAAAAGAGCCAGCAACAGCAAGCGAGGAGAGGCAGTCCGACCCCGTTCGATCCGAAGAAATGCCAGAGTCCAAAGCTGTCGAGCCAAGTTCTGAGCAGATCAGCCAGAGAGCTGATGAAATTCGATCAGAAGAAATGGAAGACAAGATGACCTTTGTCCCAGCTTGGTCACCACAGTCTTCGAATAATTCAGGTCCGAAGTTTCATGAACTAAGCAAGTACCAACAATCACTAATCCAGAGAATGCACAACAACTTAGGTCATCCAACAGCCGAGAAGTTAGCAAGCCACCTTCGAAGACTTCGTTTCTCTCAAGAACTTGTAGATGGAGCGAGTGAATACTTATGCCAATCGTGTTCGGAGAGAGTGGGACCCAAATTGACAACCCCAGGAAAACTGAAAGAACCAAAAGACTTCAATGAGGTGATTACATTAGATGGATTCGAATGGAAAAGTAATTCGGGCACCAAATATTATGTAATCCACATCTTTGATGAAGCCACCCATTTCCACTTGGGGAGAAGGTGTCAACGGGGAACGGAAGAAGCAGAGAGGGTAGTGAATGAAACATGGATGAATTGGGCAGGACCACCTGAAGTGATTGTTCATGACCTTGCAGGAGAGTTCGTGAGCCAACAATGGAAAAACATGCTACAGCAAAACAGCATTCGAGCAGTGACGACAGCAGCGCCCTGGCAGAGGGGGAGGATTGAAAGACATGGGGGAACAGTAAAAGAGATGCTAAGTCGAATAGACCACCACATTCCGATAAAGACAGACAAAGAGTTCGACTATGCATTGAACCAATGTTTCCAAGCCAAGAATAGTATGAGCGTAGCAAAAGGGTTTAGTCCAGAACAAGCAGTTTTGGGGAAAGCCAGCCGGGTCCCGGGATCCATATGTGACGATGAAACAACAATCTCTCATTCTCTCATAGAAGGGGAATCAACAGAAGCTGAAGTCTTCCAGCGAAAAATGCAAATTCGATCAGAGGCAAGAAAAGCACTCGTAGATGCTGATAATAGTCAAGCAATTCGCAGAGCAATATTGAGACAATCCCGTGGAAGAGAACATGATTGGAAATGTGGGGAACTTTGCATGGTTTGGGACAAGAGAAAAGCACCAAATATCTTGGAAAAGGGGAGATGGGTAGGACCTTGCCAAGTAGTGATGCATGAGACTCGGACCATTGTTTGGGTAACCCACCTGAATAGATTGCTAAGAGTTGCCAGAGAGAACATGAGATCCGTCTCATTGAGAGAATTTCAAAGTCACCACGGATTCCAACAAGTCGGCGATTCGAAGAGACTGAAAGAGATGGCTGAACAGTTGGAAACCCAACTAAGAGAAAGAAGCGGAATGTTCCAATATTCCGATCAGGTAGAAAACATGTCATATGAGCCATCAGAAGCAGCGCCTTCGAATGAAGACCAAACCAGGTCAGCCCAGCCAGAGGAAGAGCCTCATCGACGCAATTCGAACGTAGAGAATAGCATAGAGTATCCACCGGGATTAGATGCAAGCCAGATCCCAGTGATAGATCCGAATGCAGATGAGGAGCTTGAAGGCCAACCAGAAATTGATGACCCTGTAGAGCCAATAGAGCCAATAAATCCATCCGAATCAATTGGGGATTCAATGGTGGTTAATGCATGCATTGTAGAGGGGATAAACGACAGAGGGGAGGCCGTCTATGACCAGGGAACTCTATGGAGTGAAGAGTCATGCCAGATAGCCGAAGCACAGGTCTGTAGTTTCGAATTCGTCGTTCCAGTGAAAGCATTGGAGAAATTTTGTAGGAACCCCTGTTAGCCTGTTACCATGCAGAAGCTTTGAATAGAGCAGCCAAGAAAACCCATACCGAGGTCCAATACAAACATCTGTCAGCCGCAGAGAAAAAGCAATTTGATGAAGCCAAGAAACGAGAGCTGAAATGTTGGATAGAAACTGAGACGGTTGAGCCACTCCTAAGACATAAGATTCACCCGAGTAGGATAATGTCTTCAAAATGGGTGCTGACATGGAAGGAGGACCACAGCTCTCCTTCAGGCCGCAAACCGAAGGCTCGTCTAGTCATTCGGGGTTTCCAAGACCCAGAGGTAGGAATTGTGTCAACCGAGAGTCCAACCTTGTCTCGTGATGGCCGAATGATGATAATGCAAACAGTGAGTTCACTCCACTGGCGGATTCAATCGTTCGACATTAAAACGGCTTTCTTGCGAGGCAAGTCAGATGAACGAATATTAGCCATGCACCCAGTTCCAGAATTCCAAGAATTGTTGGGTTTGAATAGTGAACAGGTACTCTTATTGAAAGGCAATGCCTACGGTAGGGTGGACGCTCCACTGCTATTCTACAAAGAGTTCCGAAAACGGCTTGAAGAAGTAGGATTTGAAGCACATCCACTAGACAATTGCCTGTTCTTATTGAGGGACCCCTATGATTCGACAAAGCTGGATGGAATCCTGGGAACACATGTAGATGACGGGATAGGTGGGGGCAATCAAAGATTTGATAAAGCCCTGGAGCAACTGCAGAAGAAGCTCCCGTTCGGAAACCAAGAGTACAAACGCTTCAAGTTCGCCGGACTGACAATAGAACAAAGAGATGACTACTCTATCAAAATAGGACAAGAAGACTATGTACATCAAATAGAAGCCATAGATGTTGCAAAAATCAGAAGAAAAGAAACTGAATCACCAGTATCGAACCATGAGCAACACCAGCTTCGAGCTCTATGTGGAAGCCTTCAGTATGCAGCAGTGCACTCGCGTCCAGATATAATGGCAAAGGTATCCTTTTTGCAGAAGCGGGTTTGTGATGCTAAGATTAAAGATCTCTTAGAAGCCAACAAAATCCTTAGGGAAGCAAAAGACACAGCCACAACATCCGTGTTGGTGCAACCCATTCCAATGAAAGATGTAACTTTTGCCAGCTTTGGAGACGCAAGTTTTGCATCGGAGCAGCAATTGAAAGCACAGCAGGGAGTTTTCATAGCAGCATGTACTAAAGAACTTGGAGAAAACAAGATATCCAGCATATCCCCATTAGCATGGCACTCAAAGCAGATAAGTAGGGTAGTTCGATCGACCCTGAGTGCTGAAGCCTATGCAATGTCTTCTTCATTAGATAAGTTGACTTGGCTTAGATGCATGTGGTCAGTAATCAAAGACGGACGTTTCAAGTGGCAAACACCCGAGAAGTCACTAAAGAATGAGACTAAGGCTTTACTCATCACAGACTGCAAGAGTTTGTATGACTTGGTGAACAAAATGGCGACTCCCAACTGTCAGGAGTGGAGAACGACCATGGAGGTGATGCTTATAAAGCAGCAGACCCAAGATAACACCGAGTGTAGATGGATATCGACAGCCATTATGCTTGCAGACTGTCTAACAAAGCCAATGGACTCATCCTTTCTTCGACGGGTGCTTACTCTTGGAAAATTTAGGATCTATGATGATGACAGTGCCCTCAAAGAGAACCCGAATCGAAAGTTTAGCTCACGATGGATCGAATCCTTTGCTGAACCGTGCAATTCGAAAAAGAAAATAGAGTCAATGTGAATCAATCCAGTTGAGCACCAAAGACCTTCGAATGGTTGTTCGATCGATGTACGTACCAACGCAAAACGCGTTGGCTCAAGGCCGACAGGGACAGGACAAGCACCGAGGAAAACGGTGCGACGGCTGGGTGGAGGGCCACCTTTTAGGTTTAGGTAGGGATAGGTCCCCTTAGGTAAGATCACGAAAGGTAGCCCTTTAGGGGATACCTTGAGTTTGTCTTGCGAAGCAAGTGTTGGGACGTCCGGGTCTAATAATTGATCGCTCAATTCAGACCCCCCCCCACCCCC